AAATGTTTTATGACTTATTATGACTCGATTATAGGAGACACTATTTAGTAGTGTCCCACGGAATTTGAGTCACATGTGTCCTATTACACCACTTATTGAGATACAAAAAAGTGTCTAAACTACTCATTTTTGTTGTAGTGTGTCCCACTCATTGAAGTGTCTACAATTCAGCAAAGGAGTCACTGTTGCCCACGATAGACACTCTGCAAATATGCAAAATATCCACCCAATGAATGGTAGAGCCTGGCGAAACCCCTATGAGTTTATCAAGAGACTTGTGATTTTGTTTTGTTAGTTTCTTTGGCTCTTTCTTCTTCTTTTACTTTTAGTTCGATTTCATAACTGTACTTACAAACTTCTCACTACTAGTTGAAATTTAGAGTAAAAACATTATTTCCTTTGATTGCTAGCTAGTTGATATGATTATATTTTTTTCATTCCAAGATAATTTTTACAACAATCAACATAATCACATGTTTTTCAAAAAAAAAAAAAACTGTTCATCAAAGCATTGAATATTTCTAAGTTAAGCCATTGTTAAAGCTATTGGGTCAAATTGTGTTCGATGTTTCTTTCAATTGATTGATTATGAGCAAGTCGTATTTGTAACTTTGATGCAGATAGGGGGAAATTAAGGTAAGGGCTATGTACATTTGATAGTATTTCCAAGTACTCGTATTTGCGAGATACTATGGTATATCTGATGATTTGGTGTACATTTTCTCTTTTTTAAAGGCTATCGTGAAAAATCGACGCTGATAAGGGATTAATCTAAATACTTTTTAGTTTTAACTAAAGCAATATGTACATGGCAGACATATTTTCGATTTTATCCACAAATGCAATGTTTAAGAGTTGAGACTAACCAGTAAAACCTTGTGCTCCTTACTTGATGCACAAGTAAAAGTAGTGTCAAAGTTAGGCTACGTTTAACTCTCTTTTTTTTTTTTTTAATTCCGAAACACATCCTTATTTTCACTCTTTTTTTAAAAAAAAAATGGCTTATTTTCACTCTTTATTTGGTTACATATTGTAATGTTAACAGTTATTTTTGTAAATTTTGCATTTCTTTGAGAAAATCATATTTTCTGTTGATGATGATTCTTTCTGTTTCAAATTTATTATTGAGTTTATATTTTTCATTTGTATTACAACCAAACTGGACAAACAAAACAAATCTACCTAAACTATAAGCAAATCTAACGAACTTACTAAGAATGTGCAAAATCATATTGCTCTTTGAATTTTTGTTTTTTTATTTTTTTAAATGGTTGTCTACATGGGAAAAATGGCCTAAAACTCATTCACAAGCAAAGAAAATGCTTTTATTCCTTGCAAAATTATTGGGAGAAAAAAGAAAAAAACAAATAGGGATTGAGGATAGTTTGGAGGATAGGAATAGTAGACGAACACAAGTGAGGACCACACAGGTACGTACTCCCATCAAGCAAAGTGAAGCGCAAGGAATCGGAAAAAAAAAAAAAAAAAAGGCAGTTTTCTTTCTCTTTTCAGTTCCCAACGTGGCAAACATCGAAGTCAACATCTTCCACGTCGGACAAAATGCCAGCGTGTTCCTTGCTTATCGCCAGCTGGCCTTGGAAAGCGTACGACTCCTTCCCTACAGGCTACAACCTATGGACCATGGTTATCATAAAAACCTTAAATGGGATGATTGTAAATTGTAATTACTACTAATGGCTAATGATAAAATGATTTTTCTTTCCCCTTTTTCGTTTTAGTTTTCCTTTTTTTACTGCTACTTGATTCAAGATGAATCTCTTAAAAACATATTCCATTGTTCAATTTATTATACTGTATTAAATAAAATCATTTTAGAACATAATAAATTTGAAAGATTACTGATTAGTGAACGAATAATACGACAATCATGAATCTAATGACATGTATTTTTGATGAAACATTTCAATGGCAAAGATATATACTCGTAAGTTGTACATTTCATCTCGTAACGCAAGTCATGTTTGTTAATATGTTCTTCTCTAAAAAATGGTACTATTTTATTTTGTAATGAAAAGAATATCATCGTAATATAGTATAAAATTTGTATCATTATTGTGTGTCGATGGTCATGGATGTTGCTTGGTACGTACTAATGCAAGTACTACACCGTATACTACTACTAAAACTCGATCAAAATAATATTCTCTTTATCCTAAAATTATTATTCTGTTTGATATTTCACTTTTAGTATAATTTAAACTAAAAGTATAAATTTAAAGTGAACAATAATTATAGGATGGAGGGACCATTTCCTTATACTCCCAACTCAAAATTGAGGGCTTGGGGAAAAGGAAGCCCCCCAATGGACTGACTGGGGGAAGAAGAGATTGAGAAGAGAGAAGGAAGACAGGGTGGGATTGTGGGAAGAATGGCGGCAGGTCACATGATTCGAATAAAGCCTATTGTTTAATGTGTGTTTTACCAACGTTTCTCCAACTGGCATTATCGCGTCATCCCCCTGGTTTTCCCAGGATTATATCATGCCTGCCTCGGATAGTGATTGTTTCCTATTGTTTATTGATTTGAAAATATTTTTATATACATACACTTTCGTATTAAAATAATTATTTAATTTGACTTTTCAATATTAGTATAATTTATATTAAAAAGAAAAAAAAATCAAAACTGAATAGGAATTATTTTGATGTAAATGAATAACTTTTAATATAGTAGGATTTTATTTCTTGTATGGTTCCACGAAAAAAAAAAAGGGTTCATTTTATCAAGTTGAAACTATGAAATAAAGTGAACTAATTTGTTTTATTTATTTATTTTTTTGTGTTTGGCTTTATTCACATTGACCCCATCTAATTTCCATTATTCTACTTCTCTCTTCTCCCTTTAGTTTTTGTTTTTCTTTCTTAAATGATTTGGTTGGTGAGCTCCTACTAGTTTAATTAATTAGAAACATTTTGCTTTTGTTGGATACCCGGAAATCAAAAGCATTATTGAATGAGGAGTTAGGATGATTAAGTACTACTCATTCAAACTAGCCAACTAATTTGAATGAGTTTACAAGTAACTCTTGTATTTATATCTTTTTGCCTCCTTTCCGTATCTTTTGATTTTTCCTGATGCTCCCTAGTGTGTAAGCGGGCAAAGTACGTACTCTTGTAGTATAGTAAAATACTACTCCCTCTGTCTCAAAATTATTGTGCAGTTTAAGATTTCACTTTTAGTATAATTTGAACTAGAAATGAAAACCCAAACTGGACAATAATTATGGGACGGAGGGAGTATCATTTTATTTTCAATAAATTGCTCTTCAATCTAAAGAGTGAAAAATCTTTCACCTCAAAAAAAAAAAAAACCAAAACTTTTTACATTAATGGTTTTTTAATGAGACAATATTAATGCCCAAATACAGAATCCGTATTTGATCATCCTCCGTACAAGTGAATCAAAAAGTGCAGAGGATGAGGAGACAGAAGAAGTAGGATTCTTACTTTTTGAGTTTAATTTTCAATTGAGATTAATTAAAAGAAGATGTGCTGGATGGAATATGTGTAGTTAGTTCTTTGCTGGCATTCTATACATCTACCTATCTAGGGTTTATCCTCAAAATAGGGTTTATGCATTTCTGGGAGGGAGAAAAAAAAAATTAAAGGGTAATGATGTAGATTCCATGCGAATAAACTCTTCATTTTATTTGTAGAAGAATTTCAAACTCAATCATTTAACACTATTTTTTTTCAGCAGCAATTATTTGTATCAGTATCACATTTATTAATTTCACTGTCTACCTAAAGCATTTTCTCTATATATTTAAAAAAAAAAAATTTGAAAGGTATACCTAAAGCTGATTTATACATAACTAGTCATAGTATTACTTATAGATGTTGTTATAAAAGAAAAAAATAAAAAATAAATTAAGGCTAAATTAGTTGGTTTGATGGTACATCCATTGGTACGCCAGCTTGCAAAATATACATGCAATTTGCAAATACCGTTCTTACACGAAACTCGTCTGGTAGACCGAAATTGCATGGCATATTTATTTATCAACTTAATTTTTTTTCCGTAGCTAATTATTCACCGTAAATAACAGTGATTAATTTTATTTGTTGAAGGTGTTAGTAAATTTGAGATTGTTGCATCTATGCTTGATCAAGAGAATGACTGAATTCCTTCAATTTAATCATGATACATTTGGTTTTTTAATTTCATTTAATATTTTGGGAACAATTATTTGGGTTAAATTTTATAAATTGTGCTAATTTAAGTAAAATTAATCCACACGGCTCAAATAGGATTTACCTAAAATATTTGAAGCAGTTCCATGGGGATTTTTAATTAGTATTATATATATATATATAGATATATATTCTGTTTAAGCATCATTGCCAGACGGCTACGATTGCTTTCAATTCATGTTCTTTAAAACTATAAAAGTTGGAATTTTCCAAATTGAATGACGAAGTCTTTTGACCTTTTTACTGGTCTACTAATTTTTTTTTTCCAAATTACATTTTTGTTAACCTTTTTTTTTTTCCTTCTAAACGTGTATGAATGATTAAATACAGCATTCAGAAATTATTCCAATGGCAGTAAGACACTTGGTACAAAATTATTGACGAATTATATAAGATTTACCGACTACATAATACATGGTGCTAAAATTTATAAATTTGTAGTATCATAACCGACTACAATCAATCACGATACTATCCGGTTCATTCTGTAAATAATTTTGCATTTAGAATTCAAGGTCAACTTAACGAAATACAAATGTATATACATTATTCTACAATCAAAATACAAATATATTGCAGTATATGGTAGAATTACTCCTCTTTATGACCAAATATTATTTTTATTGCATTATTGATCACAAATTCCAATTATTATCTTAGTCGAGAGAATCTTTATTTATATATAGTAAAATAGTGTTTCTTTTTTTCCTCCCCTCGAGATAAAAAAATAAATTTAACCAAAAAAAAAAACAAATTTTTCAAATTCAAAATACGAAGTTTAAAAATGGAAGATCAATAAGTTGAGAGAGAGAGAGAGAACCAATTTTCTGACAAAGAGCACACCCTTTCTCTGACTCGGCTCCTCCTTTTTATTGCCAATACCAAACACGCATTCATCCGTCAATACTCTCTTCTCCTTCCCTTCGTTCTTCCCGCCGCCCACATTTTTCTCTCTTTTTCTCTCTCTCCTTCTTCTTCTCTCCTTCTTCAATCCTTAAAACCCCCCCAATCTTCTTCAAGAAACCTCACAGAAAATGCTGTAAGAACCACACAAATCATAGCACAACACGTTTCAATTCAATTAGTAAAAAGGACTTCTTTGAAACAAAAAAAAAAAAAAAACAGAGTGTGAATCTCTGGTGACTAATAACAAAATGGCTGTTTCCAAGAGTAACAAGAAGAAACAATCTTACATTTCTGTGCCATCGCAGATAATCAACCCCATTTCATCTGCTTCTTTGGAGTCTTTGTTGCTTTCCCCAAAGAAGAAATCGGGTCACCAGTCTCATGGGTTTTCATCCCGGTTTCGATTTTGTTGGAAGAGCCCAAGATTCTGGCTTTTCTTGGTTTCCGTTTTTGGGTTCTTTGGGATGATGAGGATTTTCTTTGACTTTGATCCTGTTGTGCCGTTCTTGAGGAACCCGTGTTCTAATGTTGAGGATAAATCGCTGTTGTCGATGAGTTCGGTGAGTGCTACTCAGCTCAGTGCTGTGGAGAATGAGGTGAAAATGGTTGGGAGTATGGATACGGTTAGGGATGGTGATGAGGTGAATGTTGATGAAGAGAGTGAATTCTGGAAGCAGCCTGATGGATTGGGTTACAGGCCTTGTTTGGAATTCACCAGGGAGTATAGAAGGACTAGTGTTGATGTTGTGAAGGATAGGACTAAATACTTGATGGTGGTGGTTTCTGGTGGAATGAATCAGCAGAGGAATCAGATTGTTGATGCCGTAGTTATTGCTAGAATCCTCGGTGCTGCTCTTGTTGTCCCCATTTTGCAAGTGAATGTTATTTGGGGTGATGAAAGGTCTGTTCATTTCTCTGTTCTCTAAAATTGCTTAAGTCCAAAATTTTTGTTTCAAGGATGGAATTTGAATACCATCATTCTTGAATATGTATTACAGTGTTCTGTTTTGGTTACATATTTCTTCTTCCTATAGAGGCTGATTTCTTTTCTTTTTTTATCTTTGCTGTTGCAGTGAGTTTGCTGACATATTTGATCTGGAGCATTTTAAGAAAGTCCTGGAGAATGATGTTCGAATCGTGTCATCACTTCCGTCTACTCATGTTATGACAAGGCCAGTGGAAGAGAAAATGACTCGACTTTATGCATCTCCTCAATGGATTCGATCACGGTATCACAGAAAGGTAATACACCATTGCCCTGTACCTGTTTTTTTATTGAAGTTCCTTACTTTTCATTCGCTTATCTGTTCATTTGGAGTATGAGGTAGTTTCTAAGGGGATTTGGGTTAGGAGGAATTGCCACATTCATACGGGTGAAGGGAATGTTCATTGTTCTGGAACTTACAATTTCGTGTTGCTTTTAAGCATAAAGCAAAACAGCCTGGAGAGATGGCCCCCTTTTTGTAGTATCCGGAGTGGTTTTTTTTTTTTTTGAACTTACATACAGCTGGTTGGTCATATTGGAATGGGACTGAAACCTTAAAAACCCATTAGACTGCTTTAATTGGTTAAGATTATATCTGTGGGTCACTCTGAATGCCCCCAGCTACCCAAATTCAGGTTTCGCATCTGCTTAAATTGTTGTTGTAAAAGGACTCGGTAATTCCACCACTTAAGAAACCTTTCTTCTTATGAGGGTTCTTTACTTTCTTTTTCCAGATAAGGAGGGAAGGTGTTTTGCTTTTGAGAAGCTTGGATTCGAGACTTTCAAAGGATTTGCCTTCTGACCTTCAAAAGCTTCGCTGCAAGGTATGTGGAAGCCTAAATCTTTTAACCATCCGTCCCTTTTCCATGCTTAAAATTAAACTTATTCAGAATGTGATGTTTTCCTATAAATGAAAATCTGTTAAAGTCCTATTTAAATGCACAGGGTAGATTCTTCTTTCTTTTTTAACCTGCTTATGACTGTTGCTTTTGATCATCTGTAGGTGGCTTTTCATGCCCTGCGGTTTGCTCCACCAATCTTAGAACTTGGGAACAAACTGACTGAGCGTATGAGGAGCAAGGGACCGTATCTTGCTCTTCATTTACGGATGGAGAAGGATGTATGGGTCCGGACTGGATGTCTACCTGGATTAACCCAAGAGTATGATGAGATGATTAACAATGAGAGGATAGAAAGGCCAGAATTGTTAACTTCAAGATCAAACATGACATTCCATGAAAGAAAGCTTGCCGGACTCTGCCCCTTGAATGCTTTGGAGGTTGCAAGGTGATATTTTGGTCTCTGTAACAGACTGCATTAGTGATTATGACTTCTGAGAATCTATTCTAATTGGTGACATTTCAATGCATTAGGTTGCTTAAAGCTCTTGGAGCCCCAAAGACTGCAAGAATCTTCTGGGCTGGAGGGAATCCATTGGGTGGAAAAGAAGCATTGCTTCCGTTGACCACAGAATTTCCCCATTTTTTCAACAAAGAAGATCTTGCCTTGCCTGGGGAGCTGGAGCCCTTTCAAAAGAAAGCCTCCTTAATGGCTGCAATTGATTACATAGTTTCTGAAAACAGTGATGTATTCATGCCATCTCATGGAGGAAACATGGGCCATGCTATTCAGGTACCATCACTTACCTGTCTCTGTTAACAACGCTTGTTTATTACAATTCTACACTCAGAAATAGCTACATTTCTTTGTTAACAAAATGGAGTATGAATTCTATGACGACGATAACACCTGGTGGAAATTCTTGGGAACGTAAATAGTGATATGAAAATGCTCTCAATCATAAGGCTGTTAACATGGTTGCACTAGTTGATTTCTTCATGTCAGTTTTTTTGGATTTTCTTGCTAACACTCGGTACTTCTTGTGGACTCAGGGTCATAGGGCGTATGCAGGGCACAAGAAGACTATCACCCCAAATAAAAGACAGATGTTCTCGCACTTCATGAACTCATCTCTACCTGAAGCAGAATTCAGCAAGATTATTTTCGCTTTGCACAAAGATTCCTTAGGGCAGCCGGAATTGAGGAATAGCAAAACCGGAAGAGATGTAACAAAATACCCGATTCCTGAGTGTATGTGTAATAAAAAACAGCCTCAATCTGCATCACAATCATCCAGTAGTTCTCAATGAGATGAAGACAACACAAGGGATTGTGATGCAAGAAGCACCCGATGAGAGTTGCTAGACATTTCTACAAGAAGTCATTTCCAGGGCAAGTCAATTCATGGGCTGTTTCAAGCTGGCACTTTGAACCTGTCTTGTCAAAGTTGGATGCCCTGCTGAGTGCTGAGGAATTATGGAATTCTAGGGAAAGTGAAATCTCAAGAGCAGCAACAGGCTCACCTGTTGTGAGCGGTGGCATGTGTTCCCACTTTTGTTAATACTACCTTCTAATCATGTAAGCTAGGTTACAGATTAGCACATAGCTTCTTTCTTTCATTCAATTCATTCTTTATATACCCAAGTTGATGTATACTACAAGGAAACGAATGTAAATACAAATATAGAGAGAAAATCAAATTCCGGCTACATTTTCACATCTTCTGATGTCTGAAACCAATAATGCAAAGCTGAAACACAGTTTTCATGAGGCTCTCGAAGTACTTTTTCTGTGGTAGTCTGGATAGAGTACTAATATGATGTCTTTAGGGTTACGGTGAATTCAAAGTTTGGTTAATCCAGCTAAAGTTCTAACTTCCAAGGTGAGTGCTATCATATCATATGCTTCTGGATTAACTTGGCAATTTGTACAAGAGCATCAACTTCATAGCTGTCAAGTTTAGAGCTGCAGATTGGAGTCGCCGAGTCGGTGCTCAACTTCAATGTATCAGTAAAATGTTTAGAGCTGCAGATTGGAGTCGGTGCTCAACTTCAATGTATCAGTAAAATGTAAAATGAGTGCTTGTCCAAACAAAGCCTATAAATGCATGAATTTCAATATTGATAATAGTGACCTCATTTCATTAATAAGGCCCAAGACCTTTGGAACAAATGCGTTTCTATTCAAACTTCAGACGATCCGACAAAGATAAGACACAAATTTGAACTAACTTCTAGTGTTAAATTGGCCTTATACTTATTAGGATCAGAGGGACTATCTTGCTTGAATGGTTCATTCTCTGACAAATTAAAAATGAAACCTTTAAGCCCATGAACATAAGAATTATTCCTTAATTTGCAAAGAATAACAGGTGTACAAAATATGACCCCAACTTGCGCCGCAGTGGACAGACTACCGAAACCCTAATCTCTCTTCTCTGATCGGATGCAAAACATAATGTCCAAGGAGCGGAAGAAAATGATGAAAGACAAGAGGGAGAAGAAGGACACGAGCATAGAGAAGAATCGACCCCAACCCGTGGCTACTCTTGTTAATATCAAGGGTTATAATAATTATGTGGATCGGCTTTGGAAAGTGTCGGAGTCAGATGCTAAAAAAAGCTTGAACGAGGCGAGGGAGAAGTACTTAATGAATATGAAGAAGGATCTACCGACACCAGTGGCTGATCCTCAACCTCGACGCAGGCTTACTTTTCTGCCTCAACCCGTGGCTACTCTTCTTGGGATCAAGGGTCCCCTAAAGTCCCTGGATCAGCTTTGGAAAGTATCGTAGTAAGATGCTCAGAAAAGCTTAAACGACAAGAGGGAGAAGTACTTAATGAGTTTGAAGAGTTTGAAGAACTAGTATGTGTTTGTGCATGGTGGATCAAAGATAATTTGTCTGAATCTGGCTTCTAGTTCTGCTCCTAGTTGTTGAGTACATTTATGCAGTGGTGTTTCTTGAAGAAATAATCTAGCTAGTATGAATTTTACTCATTAGGATCCCTATGCAATAAAATGGTTTTCAGCACATTTTTCAATTCTCATGAACTCGGCCTACAAGATCAAATCAACAAGTGTATTACAAACAAACAGCTCATTCTTCTCCCCCGTTTTCCTTCCCCCACAACTAACTACACATACAAGAAAACACAAAGAAAAATGCCTAAAACTTGCTTTAAAGCAATAACTTACATGTCCGGATTGCATCATGGACAGTGCTGCTTTCTGCACTTGCAGGAGTAAGCAAGCCCTAGCTAAATGGTCTTCAACCTTCATCGAACAAAATTTGTCTGCAAAGCAAAACTTGTCTGCAAAATGCCTTCGTCGGCAGACTTTTACAGTGCTTATCCATTAAGACTATTCTTCTCCTTGGTGTGCGCTGTCTTCTTCAGAATTTCAGAAGAAAAAGGGTTATACAACACGTGTTTTACTAACGAGGATCAGAAAACCATCCAAGATAGCAGCGGCAATCTACCAGTTAGAATCCTATAGAGCACAAGGTTTAATCCCCAGATGTCTTACAAGGGACTACTGGATTCTGCCAAAGCTAAATTCTCTTCAGCAGAAGCTCCCCATAAAGGTGAAAGTGCAACAACCTTGCCAATCATGATAAGAGTTGGTGATACCAGCTGGTGCAAAGAGATTTTATCCGCTAGATCTTTCAGCTCTGCAAATACCTGCATGTCGAAAGTTAAAAATTCAAACCCAGAAGATAAAAATACCTATATGGAGAACTCCTAGCAAAGTATCTAACCTAAGGACTATTAAATCTTGATATAAATGTGAACTGAACTAAGATCACCAAAATCATTTGAGGTGCTTTAAGGTTAGCTGTCATCATCGGGACTATGTTTAAAGAAATTCGAAAAGAAGCTTAAACTTGCACGTGTCTTTTATATTTATCATTTCTATCATATTTAAATACAAAAATAGTTTATGAACTTCAATTTAGATTTAATGCAATCCATCATATGACAACAATTCAGGTACATGTAAAAAACCACAGATGAGCATGACCGACCAGAGGGAACATGTGCCACATACCATGCGCTGTTGAGGTGTAGTCCCTCGCTCAACTGCAACAGCTGGTGTCTCATGGGGCAAACCATGATGCATCAATTTTGTGGCGAGAGCAGGTAATGTTGACAAACCCATGTAAACTACTAACGTTGAATCAGGGTCAGCTGCATTCTCTGCCACAAATAAAGGATCTGTTCCTCCATTTCTTGAATGACCTGTGAGAAATCTGACACTATTTGCAACTCCTCGATGAGTCAAGGGGATTCCCAACTCAGCAGCTATTCCAGAAGCAGATGTTATACCTGTACAAGATTGGAACCAATATATTGGTCAAAATAGCATTTTGACGAAATTTATTCGACAGTTGTATTTCATTGAGGTAGTAAACATATAACAAATGAGGGACAAAGAAGGAGCACAATGCAGTTATATGACGTCCTGATATTACTTCTGCGTATCAGATGAAAACTAGTTATGAATTACTAGTATTATTTATTTAAGATAGTTCATTAGTCTATATGTATAGACTCACTATAGTAGTATGATCAAGGAAAATCATATCGAAGAATATTCAAAATTCTACTCAAGTAGCTCCCTTTTCCTTACTCCTCTTCAGTCATTTTAAAGGTAACCAATGTTCTAAAGGAGAGAACTTGTCGATTTTTACTGTACTACAAAGCATGATATTGAACTATGCTATAGAAAAACAATTGCTGAGCTTCCACGAGCTATGAGAAGCACGTTATAAGATGTTTTTACAGAGGGAAAAAAAACTATATGCAAAGGAAGTTCTCTCCGGAAATTTGTAGAAAAAGGTAACATACAACAAAAAGAAGTAGAAAAAGCAGTAACCTATTTTTATGATCTCTTATCATGTTACCTGGAATAATTTCAACCGGAATTCCTTGTCGCTGTAGAAAGTCCATCTCCTCTCCACCGCGACCAAACACCTAGACGTTGAACAATGAATATATTAATTATGCACTTACGTAACTAAGAACTCAAACAACTAGTGAGAGCAATGGGACTTTAATCTGCACAACCGTAGTAGCAGCAACCATAAGCTCATCTATTTACACACAAAATAAAAATAAAATAAGATAGTTTCAGTTTCAGCATTAAGAGGAGAAAATCTTACCAGTGGGTCACCACCTTTAAGCCTCACAACTGTGGCACCAGCTTCAGCGAAACTTAAGAGTAATTCGTGAATTTCCTCCTGCAAAAATAAAGACTTATGAACATCAATTTCACAAGAACTTTCATTTGAGAAATCATGATTCATAGTTAACTTATAACCTACTCTCACTTGCTTCACCCCAATGCCCGACATTTAGATCCCTTTAGTAAGGAGTGACAACATTTTCATGCTACACGTCCGCTTCTTCTTACTCCATCACACATTTTCATGCTAAACTTAACAAAAGTACTATCAGTGACCTAATCTGGGTTACAACTGACTGATGGTCAAGAAAGTCCTAACTCGAACATGTATTAAAGGATCCTCCCCGAGAAAAAATGATATTTGAAACAGTGCTTCGGATGTAAGAAAACAAAATAAAAGCTTCTAAAATGCATAGTAAAAAGAGGGGGTGAAATTTTCTGATTGGCTATACCAGGAAAGCTCCATCAATACAGAGATAACCTCCTCTTTTTAAAGTAAATTAAACCAATAGCATTCCTTATATTAAGATGGCACTTATCCTCAGCAATCAAAGAGAGCAATTCTTCTGTCATTTAATTAGGAGGGTTTCTACACACTAACACAAAAAATTCAAAGAACTCCAATCACAATCTTCAATGCAGACTATAACCCAGAGTCAAATCATCAAAGCCATCCAGGACAAAAAGTTATCTTCAAAAGCATTCAAAGAACCAGGCCACCAAGATCAAAACATTCACGACTCCCCAATAGGATTTCTTAAAAATGCTCCTAATTCGTGATACTTAACTCACATTTCAATTTCATAATAACAACATTTCAGGTAGCATTCTAGGTAAATTTGTACAAACCTGAGTTCTACTGTGAAAACCAGCAGTCTTGCCAACATAGAGAAGTCTGGCATCAGGGCTAACGTAATTCAACACATCATTAGAAACCAATCGATCATACAGCAAAAGATCAGCACTTTGAATCACTCTCAAAGCCTTGAGCGTCAACAATTCCGGGTCCCCAGGTCCCGTACCAACCAAGTACACATTCCCAGGCCCTCCATTTCCAGACCCACCTCCATTTTCCCTTTTCTCCTTCAAAACTTGAAGCAATTTCTTCAACTCGGGAAGTTGAAGAGCTATGTCATAGTCCCTAATGGAGCTGGAATCACCCGGAACAGGGCAAAAGCAGGATTGGTCCAACTGATACAGCCAATTATCTCTTTGGTACCTCTCAATCGAATGCTTCTCAGTGAAAGGCGAAGAATTCTTCTGGGAATTGGAATTGCATTGAACGGAACAAATTGGCTTCACTGAATTAGGAAAAAAATTGGGTCTTTCACTGAAATGAGAGATTGAGGAAGAAAGGGATGGAAGCCTACTGACTAAAGCCATACTTAATGGCAAAAACTAAGAAATGGGTTTTGCTCTGAGATTCCGTTTCTGGGCAGAAATGCAAACTCAATTCATCAGCCTAATATATATAAGTAGTGGAAGTGGAGGTTGAATATGATTTGGATTCTTCTATGTTTCTTTTTTTTTTTTTCCCTTGAGCTTTCTGAATGATGAGAAGGCATTCGCTTTTTTGTTAAAAGCAGCCTTTTGAGGCTTTGAAAGGGGACGTATCTGGTCCATTTAATGGACACCCCCTGGCTACAAATATATTCCTTCTGCGCCGTTTTATAATGGCTATGGTCAAAAACTCAAAATGTAGGTTTTTCGCATATAAACCCTTCCTAGGAAGAAAAGAAAAGAGACACCTAGTGAAGGTGTTTTTTTCCCTTCAACTTTTTTAAAAAATTCATTATGTATATATGTTGATATATTTCTAATGCTTGAAAATAAGCATAAAACCCAATTATAAATGGATAGAAATTTATGCTGATAGCTTTGTTGTGGATGACCTTCTAGTCAAACCAGTCAAAACTCGAAAGGAGCCTATGATATTTATTATACTCTTTCCGTCTCAAAATTATTGTCCATTTTGAGATTTCACTTTTAGTATAATAATTTTGGGTGAAATCTCAAATTGGACGTTAATTTTGAGTGAAATCTCAAACTGAACAATAATTTTGAGACGGATGAGTATTTAACAAAAAGCCATTTTCTTGTTGCCAAAGCCCAAAACCTTCGGCCTTTTTTGAGTCAAAACTCAGAAGTAGATCAATTCATGATCGCTGGGTCATGAATTTTGGGGGGCCTTCCATGGGCTGAAAATCGCCTGGGAGTTGGGTTTTAGAAAAGTCCAAATCGAAATGAATAGTATCGAAGCGATCAAAGCCATCAAAGAAGATAATGGACCCTCAATTCAGCCCAGTAATGTCCTCTGACGAATCTTTCTTTTGCTAAACCAACCCTAAAATACTTCATATTCACCGAGAAGGGAATAAGATAGCAGATTCGTTAGTTAAAATGGGCTACTCGGGCCCCGGAGGGCATACATATTTTGGCAACTCCCCCTCCCTAGATAGTTTAGCTTTTGATAGCCCGTCTCCTTCTCCGGAAGCTATTTTGTAATCCAAGCGTTATACTTTCCCTGTATGTAAAAAAAAAAAAAAAAAAATGATCGCTGGGTCATTTGGGGAAAAGGAAAACTATCGCTTTGTAGTTTGTAGGGTGAACAATCGGACTGAATTTCCCCCCATAAACTTTTTTATGAAAATGTATATAAGACTATACAGTATTTGTTTTTTTTAAAAAAAAAAAAGATTACATTTGGTTTTAGTTTTTTTTTTTTTTTGGTTTAGAAAGCGTGACAATAAAGTCTCTCAATATTAGAATCAAATTGAGATTTGAATACATGTATGTAAGAAATTAGTGAAGAAAGATTTAGGATGTTATTATTTTAAATCATAATAACATTTAGGATGTTATGATAGAGACTGAAGAAAACATTGAGATACTCGTGAGATTTTGAAGAAAAATGAAATAAAAATATGATGATCACTAATCTAGATATTGGGGGTGTCATTTTAAATCACTGCTTGAAAACTTTTTAATTGATAATATATTCTTTTACTAAAACCTAAAAACACATGTACACAGTTCTATTATTTTAAAAGCCCTAACTTTAATTGGCAGTTTAGCTCTTTAGTCAGATTTTCGCTCTTTTGCCTTTCTAATTATCTCTAACTAGTGCTGCCTTTACTTCCAAAGAATCAGTTTTTGAAGTTTGAACTGAGGCGCAAAACTCAGCTATTAATTGTATCTGTTGGATGTTTGATCTTTTTAATTTCAGAATCTCCCTTTGCTTGTTACTGCTTTTGTGTTCGCCAATCATCCCTTTTACCCTATTAAAACAGAATATAGAATATTGATGTGACAACTTCTTATTAAAAATTTTTGGCTCTAAATGCACCATATTGCATTAGTCATTCTGCCACGTGTCATCCTTTTTTCTTAAAAAAAAAATCTTATCCGCAGAAACAAAAACTACTTTACAAAAATAGCTACACAATTTTAATTCCTAACATTTATCACTTATCAATTAAATTAAAATAACATTTAAATTTGTCCATAAACTTATCCCCTTCATTACTCCACATTCTTTTATATGATTTCTGCATCGTTGTACTTTTTAATATTTTTTCTCCTTTGACATATGATTTTTTTTTGGCTAAAAAAAAGAAAAAACCAAATGTGTAGCTATTTTATTTTTTCCAAATCAAGAATTCATTTATCTACTAACACAAAATTAAAGTAGAGGGGCGCCCGGGCCAAGCATCTAGTTCATGAATTAAAACAATTGAAACAATCTAACTGTGAAAAGGGTGGTTTAAAAGAACAAGCATAATTAAGACAATAAAGCTGCAACCAGAACAAATTCAAAGATCACCATTCACCCAGACCAGTGTACAATTGACCTTCCAGTTATGCATTTCTGCTACAAAGCTACTTGGAAGTTGGAATGGGATTCACATCAACAACTTTGATATTTCTGCCGAGCATCTCTAATGAACTACCTAAACAAAAGGCAACTAATATTTACTTTTCAACTTGAAACAAGGCAGCTGCAATTTGCCAATAAAAAGGCAAGGCAATCAAGAGATGAGCACCCCTATCTTTCCTTACACAGATTCCATAGCTTGCAAGCTTCCTCAAATTTCTTCTACAACTCAAGATCATTTTTGGCTTCAGGACGGTTCATAAGATGTGCACTATTTACAGGAACAAGCAAAGCTGCCATGGGCTCAACACATCTTCCCTCGTCAATTAGCTCTTTGGCTACATCAACTTTCTCGACGAGGGAATCATAACTACCATCCCAACGTAAGACCTTATCAGACAGTTCATGCTGCTCAGATGCTTTTGTATGTTCCCCCAATCCAGAATATATCATACCTAGGCACGTCCGGGCAAGCGCCACAATATGTGGATTTGAACCCAATTTTACATGCATATCCAAGGCCTTCAAACCAAATGGTAACGCTTCCTTGAAATTTTTAACACTGACATATTGCTCCGCAAGCTCCATATAAACAAATGCTAGCTCTCTGGGATTTTCAGCCAACTTAGACTCTCTTTTCTCCAATGACTTCCTAAGATGACCAACAGCCTCCACTCTCCTCTCAAGTGTTAGTTTAATTTGATATAATCCCCAACGAATTACATGCATACCAAACCAAAAATCATGAGAATCATCATCCTTGACACTATCCATCAGCTCAAGTGCCCTGTGATAGTACTCCACACCTTCATTCATTCTATGCAAACCCTCATATGCACTACCAATCACTCGGTAAGTCATAGAAAGCTTAACAGGGGATTAGTTCTCACCTGAATCAGAATATTTGAGAGCTCGGGTAGCAAAATACAATGCCTTTTTAGGATCTTTAACCACGATCATTTTAATCCCCATCCATAGACAAGCCTCCGCTAATTCTGATTCTTCAAATATTGTCTCCATCACCTCAATTGTCTTCAACCTGTCAGCAGTGGTTATTGTTGGAGACCTAAGATCCATCCAAAGCAGCTCCTTGTAATCTTCGACTGTCGGACCATTGCCAGAGTGGGTAGAAAACTTGTGGAATAAAAACTCCTTGTTCGCCCGAAATTAGACGAAAAAGAAGCAACAGTACCGGGGAAATGGCAGGATGGGATTTTGTTGGAGACAGAGTGAGAGTGCAACCGGGAGGAAGAACCACAGGCGGAAAGAAAAGAAGGAAGTTTAAGAGTTGGGCGGAGCTTGGAAAGAAGAAAGGAAGCTTTTGTCATGGTGAATTGGACAAATCAAAGTTTGGAAAACAAAAGTAATTCAAAACCTCCCCTTGATAGACAAGACAGTCAAAACCCTGGTTTGGAAAGAAGGGGAAGAAAAAACCCACGGATTCAGGCAGGGAAGTTCATGTCGGCTGGGAAACAACAACGGAGAAGCACATTCTAGCAATCAATAACAACAACAGCAGTCTGAAAACAAAAAATTAAACTTGAAAACAGACCCCCCCGAGCTATCAAGACAGACAAACGGAAATTCAATGATGCAAACAATGTTCTAAGCTGAATCCACAAATTTAATTTCTGCCTGAAAGATAAAAGAAGGAAAAACCCTCACATCCAGAACCCTAAAATTCAACGAACATTTTTTAAGAAAATCAAATCGATTCGGACCAAAGACTAGATAGAAAAGAGCGGGGAAACACACTAACATCCGGCAATAGCGAGCATCATCAGAAGGAATCCAACGCCGACATTGAATCGGGGATTACCGGTGAGCAGAGTGGTGAGTGACCGCTGTTAATTTGGGCCTTTTGGTGTGGAAGGAAGTAAAAAAAAAAGCTGGGAAAGTGGGAATTTTCCGCAACGACGCCGTTCGGAACGTAAATAGAGCCTGAATTTATTTAATTTCATTTAAGTGAAGACATGATAATATCATAATAATGGAACTAGATAGTAATGTGCGGGATAGATAAATTTTGTATAGAATCAAACATAATAAAAATCAAAGAAATATTTTATATTTTAGTAAATTGATATATAATATAAAAACACTAAGTTAAACAATGTTACATTAAAAGTAATTTTTATGTGCTACTTATTTACAGAAGAAAATAAGTAGATCCATATATTGATCTACGTGTTAAATATATTTCATTTTCGTGAATCATCAACATATATTTCGCCATGTTGTCCCTAAGAAAATATCAAACATTGAAATCATTAATTAAGATTGGCAAAGAAACTCACCGTGATGTGCATTCGAAAATCCTTGCTGCAGAAAATATTTGCCCATAATTTCCAAAAGTTAGAAGCGAAAAACTTTTGACACAAAAAAATAATGATTATTAAAAAGAAAAACATAAATCCTAAAAAAAGAGAGAGAAGAAAAAAGAAGAAAAGATTCTGGTATAAACTGGGATTGCAACCTAGTTGAGTTTTATAAGCACACTTTATATATACATAATAATTTTATTCACATGATTAATGCGATTGGAGTGATTATAGGCATATGTTTTTATTTGATTTTGTTACAATAAAGTAAATGGATATTCGTGTATGCAATAAAGATTGATGATATATCTCTAAAAAATATTATCTACAATTTTTTTAATTATTTCAAATTTCAAAGTAATATTAATATTGTTTAATGATCAAACCAATACGTAATGGTATTATTCAATCCAGTCGGAAAATATTTTCAAATCAATCAGTTTTAATATTGAATTAAAGAATCATTGATGATTTTGTAGTTATTATTTTCGAATTTCAAAAAAGCATTAATACTGTTTAATGATCAAACCAATATTAATGGCATTTTCAAGCCAATTAGAAAATTTTTTCAAATCAATCAGCTTTAATGTTGAATTAAAGAATCATTGATGATTTTGTATTTATTATTTTTGAATTTTAAATAATCATTAATATTGTTTAATGATTAAATCAAGATGTAATATTATTATTCAAGTCAATCGGGTAATCTTTTTCGAATCAATCTTATTTAATGTTGAGATTTTAAAAATTTTCCGTTTTCTTTTTCATTTTAGGGAATGTAAAATAGAAAGTTTACCACACAATTAATTGATATACTTTAATTAAGAATTGATAACAATTTATTAACTGGAAATTTAAAGAACTGTTAGTGTAATTATTGTAAATATTTTTTATGACAATCTATAAAAAAATGACACATAGGATTTTGTCCTATGTGTCAGCGGGGAGAGAAGTTTGATTTGCTCTCTCTGGTTTCTCTCTTAGTATAATATATACTATAGATGGGGAATGGAATTACATAAAGGAGCATCATGTAGCAATTTCATAACATGGAGGAGGTCGTGATGATTTCATAAATTGAGGTGGCCGGTGAGTGAATTTATACAAACAAATGGGTAGTTATAAACGAACATCATGCAATTACATAAAGTTTAGTGGGCACAAATCGAATTAATTAATGCCCATTCCATAACTGAATCAAGTCCTAAATCCCGTCCATATTCCTCTAATTTCTTATTATTATTATTATGAATTTTCCTCCTTTATCCAGCACCTTTTAAATAGCCCAGATTTCGCGCATCCCATCGCAAAACCTCTCTGTTGTTCAGTGTTTTTACTCCAAACCATTTTGAGAGCCAACATGCCGATGAAGGTTTTGGATGCAACCGTGACCACCTTCGATGAGGTGTTCGAGCAGTTCAAATCAGAATCCCTAAATCACAAAGCCAATCTCATCCTCTTCTTGGCTGATGCAGATCCTTCCACCAATCGTTCCTGGTGTCCCGGTAAATCTCCCTTTTTCCATCCCTCAGAATTTTTGCATCTGAACCCGTTTTTTCTTTCCCCCATTGTCAATGCTTCACGTTTCTATTCCGGCATGTTTCAGATTTTCTTGGCTGTTTATGCATACGATTCGGGGGAATTTTGGTTGTTCCGCCTCTCTGTGTTCGTTTTTTTTTTTTTTTAATCGATTTTAAAGTTATAATTTTGTCGGAAATCAATGCCCTGTTGTTAGTTTTGCGTAGAGGTTTTTTTTAATCCTTCGCAGTAATTTTCAGTTTGATTGGTTATTATATTTCGGGGTATTCTTATAGTCATCCAATTCATGCAAGTGGTGGAGTTTGAATGTGTTCTCTAGCTAGGTATTGCTTTGGATGTTTGGATTTTCATCTGTACCAGCTGGAAAACCAACCACTGTGTTAGTCATGGTGTTTTTGCTCGCTACCATATACCTTTGTGGCAATGAATTTCTACTACTTGAGATTAGGAGTAAGTATTGATCATTCGGCTACAATGTCTTCTTCTGCTGATAAGTTTTTGAGGGGATAGTTGTTACTGCAGAGAAGGATTTATATAGTACATTTGGTAGCAGAACATTATAATTCTGTATGGGTCAGCTGTTGAACTGTTCACCGGCAAAACTGATTGTACTCGGGAGCAGATTTGTAAGGAGCTACTATTGATGCACTGGAATTTATGTTTTTAGTTTTTAGAAGTGCATTATGCTTATGATCTTCTTGCAAAGTTCAAATGCTCGATAGATCTTTAGATTGCGTTGTGTCCTCTTTAAGTTTCTTCAGTTGCTCTAATTTGCTTCGGAGCATAAACATATCTTTCCATTCTAAGAGCTCATAAACATATCTTTCCATTCTAAGAGCTCATGAAATTCAAGTACTTCAGGACAGCAATAACTAATGAGCCTACTTTTTGATCCGTTGTGACACCGCATCTTTGTGTCAGCTGTATTTCCATGATCTTCTCTGTACATTTCAAGGTTTAAAAGAGCTTTCTCTTCGTGATAACAGATTGTGTGAGAGCTGAGCCTGTGATATACAAGAAGCTGGAAGCATCCCCGGATAATATTTTGTTGCTCAGAGCTTATGTTGGAGATAGACCAACTTGGAGGAATCCTCAGCATCCCTGGAGAGTGGACTCAAGGTTCAAGATTGGAGGAGTCCCTACACTGATTCGTTGGGAGAATGGGGCAACCAAAGGTCGCCTTGGAGATGATGATGCCCATATCGAACGCAAAATTGATGATCTTATTTCTGCAAATTGAGTCTTCTGCTTCCCAACAACCGAATAATGTTAAACTCTCATGCGGATGTTAACATCTCATCATTAATCTACAATAATGAGTACTCCATTGTGGGTATCAGTAGTTAATCTTAAGATTATGTCCACAAGTTGGCCCCTATTTGTCCTCTTTCAGGATGTGTAAATTTGGTAGTTGAGACTATAATTATTTACTTTTGCGTGTTTTGCTGTTGATGATTAATAAAATAGGGTAACCATCCCTCCACATGCTGTCCCTAGTTTGTTAAAGAAACGGGAAACCTTGATTAGCTGTCGTGGATGTCTTCAGGACATGAATGATGGATCTATGCGGGATATATTAGGCAGTCGATGTACAGTTGTTTACAAGTGCAATGTTTCGAAAGGATCCTTCAGGATTCGAAGCTGTTAATCTGTGTAAATCTTCTCCCACAATCATATCAAAGTCACTGCCAGATAGTGATCTTTTGGGGCTGGATGTGGAACAAGTTACTTGGTCATTCATAGTGGGTAGATAACATGACATTTCATATTTTCATGTGCAATTTGTTTTGATATATTTTCTTAGGGGACAATAAATCAGTTCTAAACCATCAATCTAATGCTTCCTAGTAGATGCATAAGGGTTCATTTGAAACCATCAATCTAGCTTCTCTAACCACTCATTTGTCTATTCTGTATTTCTCAAGAAAAGGAATTCAAAGTTGCTTTTCAGAACATATACATAGCAATCCTCAACCCTTTAAGAGATTCAGAAATTCAGCTTACTAGAAGTATCTCAATGACGGAAGTTTCTTCAAAACGAAATGTTATTCAACCAAAATTTTCAACATGAAAAGGTAAGAAAATCCTATAATGTGAGCCTATTTACTCATAATCATTGCAAAAATTAGCTATCCCTATAAACAAATCTAGGTTAACATGTCGACAAAACTTCCTCAAGAAGCACGCAGGAGGTAGTTTAAACTTTGACAACCACTAGATAATCCCATTCCCAATATTATATCAAATGAAGTGCGATTAGAACACGTACAGTGACGGCTAGATCTCAGATCTCGCAAATTGCAAGATATGCATGCCACTGTATCTCCAGTGGAGATGCCAACCCAACAGCTAACCCTGAATCCTATCGCTTGTGTTCATTCACAGGGTTGATATACTTGAACCAAGCACAGCTCTTCATTTAGTTCACTGGATCTCCATCAGTTCGATACACTCCAATCACAAAGGCTGCCACAAATATGAATGTCTTTGCAAAAATCCAGTCAGGTAAACTTTGGTCAAAGTTCAGCGAGTACTCATCTTTTATTAGTCTTCTATACAACCATCCACATTTATTCACCATCGAGAATCCAGTTCAAGTGTGCACATAATAGTCTACTCCTGAGGGATCGATAACAAGCCCATTTAGCTCGAGAGTTATCCCTTTAAGAGTTTTGAAGTCACCTTCAAGGTAATATCTTGAAAAGGGGTCTCTTGATTTACATCTACGAGTCCACAGTTTTTTAGAACCTGATTAAGCAGAAAGGTCATTAGCTCGTAATACCAAGAAACATGACAATAATTTGGACTTCGAAAATCAAAGAACCTTCCACAATTCATAGCAGATACATGGGTGGTTTTAATATTCAATTCTGTGAAAGTTATGAACATGTATACTTCTTACAGGACCCAAGATTCCAAATTGTACCACCAGTGGAATGGCATCAATCTTAGGAATCGAAGAACAAAATCCAAAGTTGCTGACAGGGCAATATATTCAAAAGTTAGCTTTGAGCAAAATTTCACGGTAGATTATAGACTTGGTTCATGCACCATGCAGTTTATCTATACAAACCATTACAGATTCACATATGCAACTTAGTAAAGATGCTTAGTAAAGATTCACATATCAATAAAACAAATTCCATCTGTAAGATGCTTTAACAACTTGGTAAGGCATGTGTTACTGGAATGTACCAGCATCACTCAGTTTTATTGCATATCATAGTAGTGATTCCTCATAAAGCAGATTTTCAGAGGTAACTACAGACCTACTGGCATTATCTGTAAGAAAGGAAATAGAAAAGTAAAAACTTTGTACAAAGGAGAGCATAACTTGCAATAACTTACCAACATCTCATTAAACATTCGAGCGCAAACTTTCCTGCTCTTGCCTTCCAATATTTTGTTCAAACTGAGACTCTGCAATTCAGCTGAATTGGGGGTTATGGATGACTGCCTTTTCAGATATTGGGCTACAGCTCTGCTCAAACATAACATCAGACTTCAGGTAAATTTCTTTTTAAGGAAACAAACCATAAATTTCTTACAGCGTTTAAAGGTACCTTGTTCTTGCAGATAATTGATCATATTCTTGGGTCCCCGTATCCTTTCTTGTCAGCCTACTTGAGTCTGGAGTTCCTTGGGATCCTGATCATGATAAAGATCAGGTGATGTATAGTGAAGCGCCAAATAAACAGCAATAAAGTTGACACCAAAACAGTAAACAGCAATACAATATTTACACAATATACTACAAGTAGCCTCGTCTCAAATCAAAAAGATACTTCCTTCTATAGACAAGCTGCAATTGATGCAATAATATATTTACACAATATACTTACCTGCTGGTGTATTGTCATCTTGTTCCAAAAAGCTTAGCTCCTGCAACAAGAAAGCCAGTCAGGTGAAACATCAAGAAGTGCTACGCAAATTTACTACTACATTAAAGCTTTGTGTAATTCTCATCGTTCCAGGTCAAATAAATTTATGGAATTTAAAAAATTATCGAACTATGTCATCAGTAAACAGCTAATCTCAAACTAAGTGAACACGGTACACTGAAGTTTGTGATGTATTAACAAAGCAAAACAGCCACTACTATGAAATAAACCTCCTTCATGCAACCGGAAGTAGAGAGTACGAGGATTTTTTAGGGACTAAAGACAAGTAGACCATATAAATAAGTGGAGAACGATAAAACTTAAATTGACACTGAGATGTGCAAATATTGGCTTAAGAATAAGATTCACAAATATAATCTAAAAATAACATACTCCCACTGAATAATCCATCTCAGGAATATTGGAATGGATACTGTTCTCCGCTTCTCGTCTCTTGTCAGAAGTTGGTCCTTGTATACTGGGCGGAGTAAGCAGTGTATCAGTTCTAATAGTTGCTTCCGACCTTTCCTTTTCAGAACCAATTTCCTTTTGCAATGGAGTGAAGTCAGATCCAAATTGAGGAGATTTCGTGGTAGGGGTAGGTGGAACAGGACTTGGAGAAGGAATGAAACCATAAGTGTGATTGTCACGAGGAGTCTCAATATTGCGAGGAAGCTCAATTTCCACCTCGCTGAGCCTTGTAGGAGTGGGGGACTGCTCGAGTACAACAGGCTCAGGATGAGGTTCTTCTGACTTTCTCAGATGAGGCTTAGAAGAAATGACTTCCCTCTCATACATACTACGCAGATCAGAACATAATCCTACAAAGTTTAAGGAATACAAATTAAAAGTGATCCTCAAACAAAACGTGATAAGAAAAGCCGAGTACAAATGGATTACCCGTTATCAAGGGTTCGAGAAACATAGAGTCCTTTTTCAACCTCTTATTTAATTTCCAGATGTCCATATTAGAACCCGGACAATTCCTTTTTCTCCGAAGTATACCACGGGGATCTTCCAGTGCCGCCTTCATGGACCTGAAATCACCCTAAGCCTAAGTACAAAGACAAAAAATAAAGGAAATCTACTAACGGAAAAAGATCAATCATACATATTAGTCAGTACTGTGGATTCGTCGAAAAAAAGCCTTCTCCTTTTTGTCTGCTTTCTTCTTTGCTGCTCAACAGGAGGTGACTGTTGGAGCAGTAATTCTGGTGTTGCACGTTCTGTAGATACAGAAGGTAATTGCCCTATTAAACAAAATCATTTCCTCTTTGATCCATCACTGTATGATTTCTATATAAAATATGTCAAAAGAAATTGCACTTACTGGACCCAATGCGGATATCTAAACTTTCACGGGATTTTTGCAAAGAAATGGATGGTGGTTTCTGCTGTAGACTATGGGGAGTGTCAGAAAGCAAAGTTTCTGCAGAAACTGGAGTTTTGATTTTATCATCTATGATTATCTGCTCCATCAGATCTTGGTCAGGTTCTATAATATTATACGACAACAATGACACATCTTCCCCAGGATTGTGAGGCACAGAAAGCCTGTTCTCAATATCTGGGATTTCAGGGGTGCTATGTTCAGTGGGCTTTGCGTTGAATTCTGGATGATTGCTAGAAGAAGGATCACCGTTGGTCGGAATTGTATCATCTTTAACAGGAGGCCGAATACTGCAACAGCAAAAGAAGATATGAACATCTTAGCAAACTAATTACTATCATATTCTTTAGTGAAACTCTTAGTTCGTACTCTTCTGCCATCGGCTGCAGCATGGTGTCTGGAGTATCTCTGGGGAAGGGTGAATGATTCTCCTATAAACATCAACAGATAGTACGTCATTTAATGCCCATTAAAGCCATCACAACGAGGCACAAAAAAATGCAAGCATACCGGCTCAAGTGTGATGACAACATAACCAGTTGGAAATTGATCTGCAAGATTAAACAACTATCAATATTTGGTAGTCATGGCTTGCTTGAGAAATCCAAAATTGACCAGGTGAAAATGTAAAAACTAAACCTTCAAGAGTTATCTCCTCCGGCAATTTTAGATGAGTGTCCTCGTGCCTGAAAATAAAGATCATAAATCATCCATAAACAACAGACCAGAAAAAAAAGGCTGGCAGTTTACAAGAAGTTCACCTGTCCGAGACATTATCGTCTTCAAAAGCATCAAGTTCAAATCTTTCGGGTAAAGTGACAGAGTAATACGATGCCTGAGTGGCATCCTGGGGGAGATTGATATTTACTGAAGAAAATGCCTTTCTTATTCCTGTTAGGACACCGTAGCAGTCTTTGTAAAGATAGTCAACCTGCTTGGAATAGATACGGACAACACCAAGTAGAAGGTGGCTTGACATCCTCAAAGCAATAGGAACCTCAGGATACATAATTTTTTCTGGACAAAAATAGTCAAATGAAAACATCAACATAATGTGAAGAAAAACGTAAAAACCAACATGTATTCCTCTTGGCCTAAACCATATCGCAGGAAAAAAAGATTAAAAAAAAAAAGATTGTAACAGCATCCAGTCAAAGATCTCTATATAATTTGATGATACAGACACTAAAACAATTTAATTGTTTTCCTTCTAATCGCCAGAAATATCAAGAGCCATATTTGATGATCTACATTCATAAAATTTATTCATAAGCCCTCAATTAGCATTTAGAAAGCTAAAGTAAACTTCAGAAATGCTACAAAAGAACACAATTATATGAGATGATCCTTCTGATACAACCAGAGGCATCTAGAATGATGTATAAGCAAGAACAAACCTCTCAGGAAAATATCATTATCAGGAACAATTCAGAAGAAACCGAAAAATTAACCATTATCCCCAAGCTTTCCAATTAAGAATCGGCTGTTTTAAATGAAAAAGCAACAGTTTTATGGCTGTAAAATTGCAGATAATCAAACATCCAGGATGCACATCAAAGGGACAGAAATACTAAACTCCTAGATAATCAGAACCTCAAAAAAACCATCAAAAGTAATTTCTTAACATTGGAGGATACCAACAATAGAGACGAAACTCCTAGAATCATTCTAAAAATCCAGTCTTTGATTGTTTCACAGAACGCAACCAAGAAAAATTTACAGAAAGCAATCAACGTTGGGCTAATCCATTAACCCAGAAACCCAAAAACGAAAAAAAAATAAAAATTGGCTTCCATGAATCAATTTTAAGAAAAATAATGAAGAAGGAACAACATACCAACTGTAGAAGGGATATTAGTACTGGTATAATCAGATTTCTTGAGCCTATTCTGCAAATGGGCAGCACTCCATACAGTCCCAATTGGGGTTTTTCTCGCCAATAATTGATGTGAATAAAACATGTCTCTTTCTCTTCTTCTTCTTCTTCTCCTCCTTCTGCTTCACCTTATTCTTCCTCCTCTCACTCCCTGCAATAGACTTAAGGGAACAATTCTGCAACCTCTTTCAACCAATGCTAATTGTTTAAACTTTTTTTAAAAAAAATAAAAATCTGTTCTTGGACGAATAAATTAATGGTGGGGAACAAGAAATGGTTTCGGGGTAGTTTTGATTTTGGGTTTTTCTTTCTTGTTTTTCAGGAATTTTTAGGTTTTATAAAATTAGATTTGGAGAGGTGGAGAATTGGAAAGAATGGGGAAGCGGGAAAACATATTCAGGCGCGAACGTTTTGGAAAATTGCCAAATTTTGGGGGGCGTGGAGGCCAGCGAATTGACCTTGTTGCCCTTTATATTGCATCCTGTTTCTCCAGCTTCTCTCGCACGGTTTTTCTAGTGGGAAGCTTCAATTAGAAGCTTTAGAGTTTAAATTTTCATTTACTTTCCCACTTATACACAAAAAAATATTCCCTCCGTTCTAAAATTATTGTCCAGTTTGAAACTTCACTTTTAGTACAATTTGAACTGAAAATGAAAATTCAAACTGGACAATAATTATGGGACAAAGGGAGTACCACAAAAAGATGTTCCAAAAAAAAAAAAAACTACCAAGAAAAACACATCACTAACCATACAATTATCTTGTTGACATTTTAAATTTTTTTCTCAATTCCAAAAAAACAATTTAGATTGAAATTTTTTTCGGTAAAAAGAAATAGGTATAGCTTAACACGTAAATTAAGGGTGTGTTATCCACTAGTCATTCTGCCACAAGTCATATTGAATTTTGAAATGTTTATTGGGTTTTTTTTCTTTTTTTGTAACTAATAAAATATATTTTAAAATAGCGTGTTTATTATAGGGAAAGTGAGCGCGATGCATATTTTCACTCCCTGTGTGAAATGATACATTGATGAATTGATTTTAGTTTTAGGTTTGTCTAATTACAAGACTTTTTGGCAAAGTGGAAGAAGGCTCGTTGGGGAGAAAAAATATTGATGTGATTGATTAGATCACTTAATTAGATTTTCATTTAAAAGTTTTTATTTATTCTTTTATTGATGACTTGGTTAAGTTAACTCCGCATTGAAGTGCCTATAATTCAGCAAGGGAGATTAGTACTGTTGTCTGTAGACATCCTGCAAATATGAAAAAAAAAAATTCATTTGCAAGCATATTATTGATGTGATTGATTATATATCATTTGTTTCTTTCTTCTTAAATTATCGGATCAATCGGAAGTTTTGGCTATGTTTGGATCGTTTTTTAAGTGTGTATTTTTAAGTTTTTTTTGTATTGAGAATCTAAAAAAGTGCATTGGGAATGTAAAAAGTTATGCGGACAGTTATTATAGATCATTTGGCTGATTCACTTAATCGATTTAGGCGGCGCTTCAGAAATTGTCGCTTTGTTTTGGGTTGTATTTATTGTTGTTGTTACTTTGATCATTGAGTATAATTTGGTGACAGACATTGTTTGATTTTGATAGTCCTGGAATGTATTCAGTTTTGTTCTGTTTTTTTTCCTTCACTATAATAATGAATTTAAGGCCTTCCCTTCTGACTCAGGATATAAAAGAGTTAGGTCTTTTCAAATTGATAGGTTCATTTATCCAAATCTTTTAAGCTCAGGAGCATGGATTCACTTTGCTTATATAATGTCCAACAATCATCCATTCACTTGTGTGTACAAGGTTGGCTTTTTAGTTTGCACTCCTTTTCAACTCTTAGTTAACATTTGGAATGAGTTGAAATGGAGAGGGAAAGCACAGTGATAATTCAACTCTACCCATAGAAGATGATGTTGAACTTTTTTTGTGAAGGGCTGATATTCTTGTCCTCATTTGTTGTGAATCCTCCAGAAGAGGAATCAAAGGATAGAGAGTGGATTTTGGTACAAATTTGATGCTCTCATCAACGAACTACCATATCTACCTTAGCTCACCCCGTTTTGATGAAATGAAAAAGGGTGTTTTATAATGCTGAAGTGTCTGATTTCCTGAAGAAGAATGATGAAGTAAAGGCTAAAAGTAAGTAAGAGAGTTCTATGTTGTTACTCCTTACTCATACTTTTAAGAACACTAAAGAAAATGTTGGAAGCAAAAAAGCATTATATTCCTTTCTATGAGATGTCTGATTATATTGCTGAAGCCATTTCTTCAAAGAAACATTGGGTTACAAAATGAAAACCAGAAAATTAAAGGGTCTCTGGTGCTGAACTATTGATGTGGTGTACCATTCATCCTTTGTCACCAGATAGATTCTGTCTTGCTAGGAGTTTCTCTATGGTGTGGTATTGCCGGGCTAAGAGAATTTATAATGATGCCGCAATTCAGTACCACTTTCATAAAACTGTCTGGTTTTTTATGTTTCAACAGAATCTAAAGCTAGAGAGTTACTGGTCAGAATTGGATGTGATCTCAATGGTGGGCATGTCACCAGCCTAGGATTAGACGATTTGACTGAGCGTCTAAGGAAAATTCTAAAGCAGAAAAGGTACCTTATTGTGATGGATGACATTTGGGAGTTGATCCACTCAGATTGTTTTCTAAACTAATTTCCATTTTGCATTGTCTCAGATTGTTTTGTGAGGAAAGTTGTGAGTTGATGAAAGAGAAGCTATTTCCTGATTTTCGCGGAGCTCCACTGCAATCTTTGAAGACAGCACCACAGAAATGCTACTGATTGCAAAAGGCCTTCCTCCAGCAATAGCACTAACTGCCTGGTAGCGCTGAAATTGGATGTGTGGGATCAAGTAGCCCAGAATGTAAAATCACACCTTGCCAGTGAAGGGTGCAAGGATATAATTGAAATGAGTTACAACTATTTACTGATCACCTGAAATCATGTTTTCTCTATTTTCGGAGTATTTCCCCGAGGAGAAAATATATATATATGCCCATGCGACTTTGGATTGCAGAGGGATTTATGAAGGATGATGATATGCATGTTAGTCATCGTGGTTGAAAGAAGCTCAAAAGATGGAATAAAGACATGCAATGTTCTGATTTGTTGTATGATTTCTGCTTAGACAAAGCTAAAGAGAAGAGAATTTCATAAACTGGTTAGAGAATGAGCTTGTTGAAGATCAATGCAGTTGTACTCCCCAAGAATGTAGCCATCATCGGCTTTCCTTGCGTGCAGAACAGTTTATCACTTTTTGCGAGAAAGGAACTCCCGACAAGTCATGTCCACTCTCTTATCTGTGTTTCAGGGCACATGGTGATCATCCCCGGTAACCAACATTTGAATTCTTAAGAGTTATGAAGTTCTTACCGTTTTGGATTTGGAGTGAATGTTTCCCGGAACAATATGATGATCCCGTTTTGGAGCAGCATATCATCGGAGGAATTGCCTAGTCTTCAGGTTCTCTAATTAGTTGACGATGCATCCGTGGGGCTTATTTGGAATTTGGAAGATGAGAACTATCCAAAACTCAGATATTTGAAGCTAAAGGATTTAGAGTCTTCAGCAGCCAAGATAACCCCTTTCCATGCCTCGCGCAACTTGTAGGTGAAATTTTGTCCGCAATATTAGAGAGATTCCATCCAGCTTTGGAGAAATTTGTTCTTTGAAGAGCATAACAATGATAGGGACCTTATGTAAGATGACGAAAAGAAAGATCAGTCAGGCAAATTTTGGAAAATCAGCGAGACTTCGGGAATGATGAGCGGTGTGGATGAGGACCAAAAAATGATGATCACAGTGAAAAAAAAAAAAATTTGATGAATATGACACGGAAGAAGAAAACATTGGAGAAGAAGATGATGACTCAAGTTTGCTTGCGCCCCTTTTTCTAATTATGGTTTGCTTGCGCCCCTTTCTAAATAATGAACCAATGATATATACCCCCTTCAGCAGAGCTCTTTCTTGTGATGCCACATTGCTGTTATTTTGATTCAATCTTGTTTCTGTTGCTGGCTATGTTCAAAAGTATGCCACCTTCCTATTCTATTATTACTGTTTATCAAAATGAAGGGTAGAAATAAGTCTTCATTTTAGTGTCTTGTGCCTGAGTTAACTCTTGCTTTTCTTCCCTGTGCTGAAGCTGTTAAGTGAGCTTCCATATAGTTACAAACTCTCCTGTTGCATCAAAATCAACAGAACTATTACCCTCTGGCTTTTTTCTCTACACAGTAACTGATGAATTCTTGATGTGGCTTTTATCTGCATAAGTTATTAGTAACCGGCATTTTTTCCTGGTCTCATTTTACATATAGGAGACTACCAGTAGCAGCAAAGCCATCATCTGCAGGTTCATATTCATTATATTGTCCACATGGAAACAACCAGAATGCAGTAATGAGCAATCATCATTTCCATTATTCTTCACTCCCGAGTTAAATCTCACTGCCATTAAAGAAATTCAACTATGTGCCCTTTGGTATCGATCAAGAACAGTTCTGCTTCTAGCTCGAAAACGAAATCCCCATTCCCTCAATTAAGAATTTCAACGCAAAATGAAACAGAAGGTGGTGAAATTGGAACAGAGACTTAATAGTCAGCTAAGAAGTTGACAGCAGATGGGTGCATAGGCTAAATGACTTTTCATAGGGGAGAAACTATCACCACGAATGGAATTTCTGTCCATCTGCCATTGTCGGTCAGAATGGCTTTGTTTGTTGATGAGATGAGCAGAGTCTGACCGTGATCCACGAAGCTGTAACTGCTTCCAACTTCACTCAAGATGTTAATCCACTTGCATGTTTGATGTTTGGATGCTCACAATGTTGTGATTTACAGCAAGAAAATGTGTTTTACTCCTTTGTGATGATTTTCTCTTTTGGTATTCTTTGTTCTCTGACGATTCCATTCAAAGAGTGTAAATTAAATCTTAGCACATTTGATATCCAGGCCTAAATTTTCATCAGTTTTGCAGTGTAAAAGTGGTGTTTCTTTTAATTGAACTTCCAGTTTCATCTAAGACCAGAGAAGCAGGAAAACAAGCGTCCCTATGCCCAATAACCATTCCAACTTCCTGTAATTTGTTCATCCTTTCCCCCGTCTTATCTCAAATCCACAAATCAAAGCTTCACAGAAATCCTTCCTGTAGATCCTCAATGATCACCCATCATGCCAAATCACCAATTCACCGCCTTCCGGATGGGACTGATCACAGAATCATTAAACAACTCCGTTCAGTTCCGGTTCCAGCTGAGTTGCCCGTGATATCTTAATGACACAGAAGCAAAGGCAGTCTTTTCATTCCCTCATAATATTCTTTGCAAAATGAACAAGAAGTTGGTGAAAATGAGGACTATGAACTACCATCAGATAACAAACATGACAAAAGACAAATGCTAGGCTACATCAAAGATCATATGGCACCTTTCCGTTGAATACATTGAACTCTAATACTACTCTTAAAACCTCGACCCTCGTCTCCATTACTTGGGTTGAAGAACAACATGTTGACTACAATTTTCTGCAAGCTGTACCCTAAGCTTTATTTACACGAATCTTCTGCCCATCCAGAACCTGCAATAATGAACGAGGGGGTCACTATTTTAGTACAAACACCAAACAGCTATATATAAGAGCACTAGAAGATTTTTAAAGAACTGGAAAAGTCAGGAAACCTAAATTTGTCCCTCGAAGCTAACAAACCCTAGTCAATTGAGGAACTTCAGCAAACTGATGTGTAGGTTATCTATATACTAACTCTAATCATCTAATGCAGCAGACTTGCCATGATACCCACAAAATGCATTGAAGTAACAACCTAAACTCTAAGAAGGATTAAGAGGACAAACAAGCTTTATCCTCGAATCCCAGGAGGAATACTAGGGAACGAATTTAGTTCATCGTAGAATGTCTAGATTTTCATCTTGGACACATTGGTAAAACTAAAAGTAACTTTTTCTAAGTGAAAGAGTGGTGTATTATAGCCCGCTAAGTAAAGCTAAAATGCAACGGATGAAAGCAAAATGTTCCCTACATTCAAGTCTATCAGCTTATCAGAAATAGAGGAACACTATCTGCACATCAGGCCAAAATTTCTGCAGTTTTAACAGGACCAAATACGTTACCTCATTGTTCAAAGATGATATAGCAGCTTCTACATCTTCCTCTGAAGAAAACGAAACGAATCCATAGCCACTAGATTTTGAGGTCCCAGGAACTCTGGAGACCTTGGCACTCAGTACCTTTCCCTTCTCAGCAAAGAAATTCTTAAGTGTTTCTGTTGTCACAGTCTTTGCAAGATTACCAACATAGACTTTGTGGGGACTGTCGATAAATTGTTCTTCAGCTTGAAGAGCAGAAAAATCCACAGATTGCAATGGCTTCTCAGTAATGTTTACTTTGATTTCTCGTCCACCAATTTGCTGCAGGTTAAGAGTATTGAACAGATAAATTTGCATTACCACATCATTCAAGGGTCAGAAATCCATAGTTGAAAGAAACGCAAAATATTCTAGGCAAAATAACTTACTGTGCCATTTAGCTTCTCAACAGCAGCTTCTGCATCCTCTACAGTCTTCATTGTCACAAATGCAAATCGACGGCTCCTTTGAGTCCACTTATCATACATCACCTGTGCATCATAGAAAGTCAAAAAAAAAATAAAAATTATCCAAAAGTTCCTCATTAAGAGTTCAGCTTCTTTGACAGTATCCTCATTCAGATTATCTAGCTATTACTCTTGACAATCTTGGATAAATAGGCTCTAGAATAACTTAGGAGAAAAGGGTAAATACTGTATTCTTTTCTTTACTTCACTAAAAACTGACTTTGATTACAAGAACAAGAAAAGGAAAAACTCTGAACAACAGATGCCTTCATAAATTCATCATGAATGCTCTGCAACAACAGTCTCAAGAAACAGGCTGTGGATGTGAATTTCAGATAATGCCATAATGGTATCTTCCTTTCTCTTCATTACGTATATTTTCAATACTTGAAACTATTCTACACAAGTTGAAAAGTCCCCAGCTAAAGATTGCAACCAATCGTTTAAACATTCAGTTGTCACTAAATGCAGACTTCAGCTCCAATCAGATCTCCAACATTCGTTAGGATATTAAGGGTTATATTAAATTGTTCGTGTTCTATATCTTGCGCAACATAAATAAGCCTAAATAAACTGAAAACAACCGGTTATGAATAGTGAACCATCATTATGGTTTTTTACATGTAAATCTAGGCTAGAAATATAATCATTCACAAATATTTTGAACCATGATAATTATGCTGCTCAAATATATATCAGAATGCCTATAATCAGCAAATGAGGATTTCTTCCCATCAATTTAAATCTGACTAATAAACTCTTCTTCTACAGTTCTTTCAAATCATATGAACCAGTGTTCCTAGGACAATCGTCAACATCAAATAATCGCTAACATTCCGCAAAATTAACCCAAACAAAGCTTCCAATAGAAGAATCAGAGCAATGAAACAAGAAGCATTTCCAGAGATTGAACTACTACCTCAGCCTTCTCAACGGCACCATGCTCTTCCACAATCTTCTTCAGCTCATCATTGGTAACAGTGCGAGGAATGTTGCCAACATAGAGTCTTCTTGCAGCTTCGGATGAAGGGTCAGCTGTGGCCACCGAGGAAGCAGTCTCTCCTTCAGCAACCACATTTAGTCTTGTCGATGATGAACAGAGGTTGAATTTCAGATGAGGGGTCTGGAGGGGTTTAAGGGAATCAAAAGAGGATCTTGGAAAAGGGACTGCGAAGAATTTGGAAGTTGGGTTTTGGAGAAGAAGATTCGTCGGATTGGGAGAAAACATCAAAGTGGATGACATTGTGTTCATCTCTTTGCCTGGGAAAAATCTTCTTCTGGAGTTTTGATAGAGAATGGGGAGAAAGAAGGGACAATATAGAAAGGGGTTTATCACTTTATCCAAATAGAAAGAGCTGATTTTTTTCTTAATTTATTTTTTCAGGGGGAAAAATGTATATTTACATTTTGGAAGCATTTATAGCCTAAAAAAGGCTACTTTATTCCCAAAACATCTATAATTAGGAGTTTCTGGGTAAATTTTCCTCCATTTTTTTTCTAGTAAGCCATTTTTGGTCTCTATTTTAGAGCGATAGCCCATTTTATTTACCCATTTTATTTACCTTACTGCAAAATTAAACTATTTAAAATCAACGAATTATTTTGATTTTTTTTTACCTGTTCAATTGATTTGCAACACTTTATAGGACGTTTGCCTAAGCACAATTAGTCTAATTCATGATTTATCATCTAATGAATCTGTTTATATGACGGTCATTAGATTAAATTTTTTTGAACCCTACATCATTTTTGGCGTAAAACAATCATATACTGATATTTGATACAAGAAGTATAATCATGGCTAAGATCATGATCATTTTAGTAATTCCAACTACATCATCTACTATTTCATTTGATTAAATATATCACACTCTTATGATAATCACCATGGTCTGTAATCTAGTGAAGGAAACAACTAGAAAATTGGTAATTTCACCTTGGAACACAAAAAGGGACAAAAGACATGGAATACGAAAGGAGCTATTTCAGAGAATGCAGGTGCAGATTGCAGGATATAGTACATAAAAGCAATTCTATTGTGATAGGCTGATAGCTTTTGATCACATGGATGCCTCCTTGATGTCATGCATCATATACATAATAATGCAAAAAAAAATAAAAATGCAATGACACATTTTAAAGCATTATTCAAGAATATACAGATATGTAACTTTCATTACATTTTTTTTTGGTGTATCAACCAAAATATTCACTATATGTGGAATCCAATCAAAATCAAAAGTTTCATTACACAAAATCGAAATGACTCTTTGCGTGAGCAGATACTCTCTCCGTCCCAAAAAAAATTCGTGTTTGGCGCGGAGGGATCATTGACCAATTTATGTATCTTACAAATTGGCAGATACTATGAACTTTAAAACTAACATTAATGATGGATAATTAGACTTGAGGATAATATCAAAGCCTAACAAACCGTCATGACTGCAGAATGTGTAACAAGAAACGAAGACAGCAAATCATATTGGAATTTGATAATTTGATTCATTGAGGCCATATATTCCTAATGTTTTGATCATCCCAAAATCCCAATTTTCACAACTGCCCAAATCATCATCAACATCATCATCATAAAAGGATAACAGACACATTGTGCAGAGAAAAACTGCAAAACGGCTGCAAACAGAGCTGGTACGAAAACTCTCCAGCCTTTTTCCACCATCTCTCTCCCAAATTTGTTTGCTAAAAAAACAAAACACACACACACACAGTGCACAGAGCACGCTTATATGGCAGTGTGATCACCCCTTTTCATCTCCCCATTTCTGTCTTTCTTGGCCTCAAAGCAATGGGTTCTTCAGGGATTCTCTCCATCACTTGAAACTAGCCATTAATCTTCTCAGAGAAATAGCCTTCTTCTCTCTTTCTTCTGCATCCCTTCAAAAGGTTTCGTTTTTACATCGTGGTTTGTTGATTCGGTGTTTTTACTTACTTCATAACTTCATTTTGGGGACACTGCTGCCGGATTTTCGATTCGGAAGGCGTTTGCTGTTTCTTTCAGTTTTCTATTCCTCCATTCCTTCCAGGTAATCTTTTTTTTCTCTTAATCCCCCTTCTCTGTTTTACTGTGATGAAAGACTAAAGAGAAAATAACAGATGTTTCTTACATATATCTAAGTGAAGAACATATTTTTTCTTTTGTCTTTCAAGAGCTGATCCTTGTTTGTGCTTTTTCTTCGGTGAAGAACATCTTTTTAGTCCATTTAAGTACCGAATCTCCATGTTTGTTCTTTTCCTTCTCTGAAATTCATCCATCTTTATTGTGTTTGTCCTGTGTCTACCCTTTTGCCGTCTGTTGATGTTAAACCTTTGATTTTTCTTTCAATAATCATCATGGCTCCTTTTGAATGTTGATCCGAGTAGCTCATTTGCATTAAAACCTTGTCGTTTGAATACATAAACTCGAAACATAATTGTGCTGAGGGAAAAAAGTGAGAGATTCTCATCAGTGTTTCTGAGGAAATACAAAGGGATACTCACAGTCAACTCAACGTGAAAGGCAGAACTTTTTTAACTGGGAACGACAGAGGGAAGCAGGGGAACAATGGCAAGAGAATTGAAAGGGGAACAGAAAACTGAGAGTAAAGACGTGGAAGGTGGCATTTTTTAAGGATTTTTGAATTGTTTAACGTTAGGGAAGAAAGATACAGTAAAGAAGAGGGAGAACATTTAGGATTCAGTTACAAATGATAAACTAATTCAAATTCTGAATAGTCTTGGCTACGATTTTGCATCTTTCCATTTTAACTGTGACACATAGTAAATGTTGGAGAAATCTACAGCATCATTTAAGTTTCTGAGCAATACTGTATGTTGAATTGTAAATAACTTTTTTGTATATGGAGAGAAACAGAGAGAGATTTCTGTGATATTTAGTTGATATGTAATGCTTTCAAACTGCAAAGTTTTAGTACGTTGCGCATTGTCTACTATCTTTTAAATTCACAGTAATACTCAACATTATGCATAGGGAAGTAAAGGAAGGCCAGTCCATGAGATGGTCTCAGCAGGTTACCTGCTACAAGTGTAACACATTTCTATCAAACCTTGATCCTTTCTGAAATTAATACATCACTCTTTATTTGCAGTTAAAGAAGATGCCGCCAGGACATAATCAGAACAGGAATCAGAACCAGGCTCCTGATGGTGATCAAAGGTTGATGACCGTTGAGGATTTCAATCTCAGAGAGACCTCCCCTAGTCTTGGTGGAGGAAGGGTAGTCGGCAGTAACAAAGTGGGGACTGCTTATGATCTTGTGGAGCAAATGAATTATCTTTATGTGAGGGTGATTAAAGCAAGAGAGTTGCCTACAAGAGATGGTAATGACAGACCTGATCCCTTTGTTGAAGTTACAGTCGGAAGCATTAACGGTATGAGTAAGCATTTAAATGATGTCTCTAATCCTGAATGGAAACATGTATTCGCTATCTTGGGTGATCAAATTCAGTCACCTGTTATGGAAGTTGCAGTGAGAGATAAAAGTAGGAATGGTGACAATTTAATTGGCCTGGTTACTTTTGATGTCATTGAGGTGCCAAGAAGGGTTCCACCAGATAGTCCACTGGCTCCGGAATGGTATACACTGGAAAAAAGAAATGGAATTAGGACCGGTGGAGAAATAATGTTGGCTGTTTGGAAGGGTACACAAGCTGATGAGGCCTTTCCAGAAGCTTGCCATTTGGATGCTGGAACTGCAGTGAGTAATGATGGGGTGGCAAATTTCAGGTCTAAAGTATACTTATCTCCCAGGCTCTGGTATCTGAGAGTGAATGTGATTGAGGCTCAAGATTTGCAGCTTAGTGATAAAAATAGACAGCATCCAGAATTTTTTGCAAAGGTTGCACTAGGAAATGTGATTTTGAGGACTAAGATTACACAGAGCAGAAATATGTGTCCATTGTGGAATGAAGACTTGATGTTTGTAGCCTCAGAGCCTTTTGAGGAACAGTTAAACCTAAGTATTGAGGAAAAAGTTGGACCTAACAAAGAGGAAGTTCTGGGCAAGTGCGTGATTCCTTTAAATGAGATGGAGAGAAGGCTAGATTTCAGAACTCCAACTAGTAGGTGGTATGGTCTTGAGAAGAATGCTTCTGATAATGGACAAACAAAATTGGTGAAATTAAACAGCAGGGTTCGCCTCAGATTATCCTTAGATGGTGGTTATCATGTTCTTGATGAATTGACTCAGTATAGTAGTGATTTCAAGCCAACCGCAAAGCAGCTGTGGAAACCAGCAATTGGTATTCTTGAATTGGGAATATTGAGTGCTCAAGGTTTGTCACCAGTTAAGACAAAAGATGGACGCGGGATGACTGATGCTTATTGTGTTGCAAAATATGGACAAAAATGGATCAGGACAAGGACCATCTTGAACAATTTCAATCCCAAGTGGAATGAACAATATACCTGGGAAGTTTTTGATCCATGTACTGTGATCACTATAGGTGTGTTTGACAACAGCTACTTGCAGGGGGACAAGCCTGGGGAAGCAAAAGACTCTAGAATTGGAAAAGTGAGAATTCGGCTATCTACTCTTGAAACTGAGCGGGTATACACACATTCGTATCCACTCATTCTCCTGTCATCTTCTGGGGTAAAAAAGATGGGGGAAATACAATTAGCTGTGAGATTTTCGTGCACATCTTTGTTAAACATGCTCCAAATGTATAACCAGCCCCTCTTGCCGAGATTACATTATATGCATCCTCTTACTTGTTTTCAGATGGATAATTTAAGGTATCAAGCCACACAGTTAATCTCCAAGAGGTTGAGCCGGGCTGAGCCTCCACTGCGAAAAGAGGCTGTAGACTATATGGTTGATGTGGGATCAAACATGTGGAGTATGAGAAGAAGTAAAGCAAATCACTACAGGGCTGTTTTTGTTATTTCTGGTGTTATTGCTTGCTGCAGGTGGTTCAATGCTATATGCACTTGGCAAAGTCCTTCCATGACAATTCTTGTTCACATTTTACTCTTGTGCTTTGTATCTTATCCCAGAATTATGTTGAGCAGTTTGTTTCTTTCCCTTTTCTTTCTTGGGATTGGAAAATATAGAGGGAGACCTAGACAGCCCCCTCACATGGATATCAGATTGTCGCATGCTGATAAGGTATTTCCTGATGAGTTGGATGAAGAATTTGATACTTTTCCAACTTCTAAGCAAGGAGATATCCTGAAACTGAGGTATGATCGGTTGAGGTGTATCGGATCAAGGTTACAGACTGTCATTGGTGACTTGGCCACTCAAGGGGAGAGGTTCTACAGTCTCCTTAGCTGGCGAGATCCTAGAGCTACCTTTCTATTTCTCATCTTTTGCTTGGTTTCCGCTATAGTAGTATTTGCTGTTCCTTTCAAAGTCCTGTTTACGGTTTTAGGCTTCTACTTGATGAGACATCCAAGTTTCCGTGAAAGGCTTCCAGCATCGCCTACAAATTTCTTTAGGAGGCTGCCAGCGCGTTCAGACTCCCTGCTCTGAAGCATTTTCTCTGTGGTTGTTTGGTGAAGCAGATCTGATATATAATTTAATGAAGAATACTGAATCTCCCAACTTTTGTTTTCAAGTTTTGTTTAAAGATTGGGATGTAGGCTTTTGTCTGATCTTAATATCCTTAACTTATTAAGACTTTGTTCGTGGTTTAAGTCAGTAGACTGTTCTGTGTCTGTGTTTAAATTTGCAGTTTTCATCAGCCATCTTTATATTAGACCTAGCTGTTCATTCTGATATGATATGAGCTAACAGATGCTACTCTTTCGGGTTGAATGATGTTATTAGTGGATAAACATACAAATGACTTAATCAAAAATGAAGTTCACTTTCTTTGAAATCTGATCTTTAATTTCAACTGCAAGCTTTGCTACATAACATTGGCATGCTTACAATTCAGGAGGGTGGAATTAGAAACAAGTTCATATTGTTCACTTCCTGTCTGAAAAAAAACTGAATATTCAGCTTGTACAATAAGTAGATGGATCCAAATTCATTGCTAACTGAAATAAAGCAATACATTAAGGAGCATCATCAAGGCGAAAACGCCTTACTCGCCATCCCAATTCTTCATTTCTAAGCTCGAAATCATGATCATCCACCCTTAATGGCTTCATGTAAGAGTATCCTTGCACTCTTGAGCTTGAACAAGAACCAGATGCACCGGCAACTCCACCGGCCTTCATCCTTCCGCCACGACAATCATTCCGATCGAATCCAAGTCTAGCTTTTTCAGTCATTCCATCATCATCATGAAGAGTTCTTCCTGCTGGATTCCTCAGGTTTAGCCCCAAGAGATGATGATCCCTCCTACTAGTACCGTTGCTGTATTTCTGAACCGGAATCGGTATTGCCTCAAGACCCATCAATTTAGCAACCACCCCAGGGCTACACCAAACGACACGCTCTCCGGCCACCACCGCCGGCAACCCTCTAAACTTATGCCCTCCATAATCAGAACCCTTTCCATAAATCCCTCCTCTGCCTGAGTTCCTACCACCAACAGGGGACATATTGTTCCGGAAAGAAGATCTGTACATTGCATCTTTTCCGTCGAGGGAAAACCGAGGGTACTGATTCAGCGCGCTTCTTGCACTTCTCAGAATGTCAGAACTGTTCACACAAGACATCCGATGCCTGATTTCCATTTCCCCTCCATAATTTTCCTCGTCATGGAGAAATTTTGCCCTTCTGGAAGCCGCCTCTTCCATCTCCAATTGCAGTATCATTTCCTCCAAAGTGGGCTGCCTTTCGCCTATATCCAAATTGAAAGGGGAATAAACAGAAGCCAACGACGACGACGCCGCTGCAGCCTGACCGGAAATCATCCCCTGGTGGTGGGTTTGATTCAGAGTGGAAGTGGAATCGGGACCATTGCAGAAGTGCTTGAAACCTTTCCTCATTTTAGAACCCAGATAATTCTTCAACAGAAACAAGGACAAATCCTTCATATTACTTCCAATACTCAATGACCCATGTTCATAAACTCATATCCAGGCCTTTCCCTGTAGCTTTCCAATTGAGATCAACCATGGCGTGAATGGAATCAATGGAAACCGGTTTGAGTGACCGTTTGTTTGTTAAAGAGATTTCTTTCTTTGATCTGGGGGCCATAAATTCAATCACATGATGTAAGAGAGTTAAAGATGGGGGATTCACGAGTTTTTCCGCTCCGGTTAAAAATTTTTTAAAGGCTCTGCATTTACATCTGTTTGTTGATGTTGATGATCATCATGAAAAAACTCTGGGGAACAAAGACGAAATCAGAGTTGAAAATTGAAATCAAAATCACGGATGGAACACTTTTTTTCATTTGGATAATTAATGCTTTGCTTATAATGTCTTAATCTCTGTCGCTTTTTAACAGCTTTTTACGAGCTAACGGGTAAGACAGCAAACTCAAATTTACTCAGAAATTGAAAGTTAAAACTTACGTATGAAATTTATGGAATCTCTGTCTCCTACTTGCTAGTGTTAATACTCTTTCCAACTTCCATCCATTCTAAAGATTTATTTTGTTATAATGGAACATGAAAAATGGGATGCTAAAATGAGACAGATAAAATACGCTTGTAGATTTAAAAAAAAATAAAAATGCTGATATTGTACTAGATTGTGTTGTTTATAAAAATAAAAATAAAAAAACGGTTTATCGTAATTTCAACAAAATAAAGCAATAGTAGCGAAATACTTTTTTATGGAGTGATTAGTGTTGGCAGAGTCAGGATTTTGTGCTAAGGGGTGCGAAATGAAATCATCATAGTAGGTATTATGTATTAGCTATTGAAATTACTAAATTACCCTTTTACAACTAAATAAATCCATACCAACTTAATTAAGTTTATTTCACTAATGTTTGATCCATTTTTTGCAACTACTAGAAATCATATCATTATAGGTTCAGATTTATATTTAATAGATAGTTAATTCTTATTAACAGTCAAAAAAGTCAGGTACCATAAAAGCCATAATAGAATTTACTATATTTCACAATAATATTTATGTTTAGTTTTAATCTCAAATATTTTTACAAAGTTAGGAGAAAGTTTTTTTTTTTTAGTAGAACCAGGGCGGCACCTGGCGGACATTCCCCTGATTTTATTAATTAAAAGTAAAGAGTACAAAAACTACAGTGCTTAAGACTTACCTTAATCCAAAAGAGACCGTCTTACAATAAATTTTTCTAAAAACTCCATGACGGTACTCTAACAATTCTAAAGCTATGAACTGTCTTTCAAAGATAATGCACATATTTCTTGACAGTTTTTAATTAAAACTAGATGAAATTTTAAAAAAAAAACTAAAAGATGTCTTAAAAAGATTTTAGACAAAGATTCCATGACATCTCAATGTAACTTATACTATCTATGAAACTATTTAACACGCAGATAAGGAAAACTATTCCTATCCAAGTAAATCTTACCTCTCAATGATGTTGGTAAGACATCCAGAGAATGATATTGCAATGTACTTCCTGTATAATATGAATATGAATATTATTCTTTTTTTTAATCAAAATAATTAACATAAGATTGTCACTAAAAGAAGACAATTACACAAACATAAGGTTTAGTAAAGGAAATAATACTATTATATTAGTCAATCATAAATTTATATATTCGTAACTAAGATTATAACATTTGCAGATATGGTGCCAAGAAAATAAAAAGAAGAAGAAAAAAAAAAAAAACCTACAAAGCAGTGGCAAAATTGTGAACCTCGTAAGAACCCAGAACTGGTCCTAAGAACCTGCACTCATTTGAAAAGGTCAATTTTGTCCTTTAATCTATCATTATTTGTTTCCCTCTTTTCTTTCTTCTTCCTTTATTCATATCTGCGCCGTTGATTATGTTCCGAATCCAACGTACCGAAATTCGCCCCCAATTCCAAAAGAATTCGAACCCACCGCCAAACCTTCCCCCCCTGTGCGTACGATGCAAACCGCTAGGAAGTCCACCGGAGGAAAGGCAGCAAGGAAGCAGTTGGCCACCAAGGCAGCTAAGAAATCGGCTACGGAGACCGGAGGAGTGAAGGAGCCACACAGGTTCCGTCCCGGAACAACTGAGAGAAGTCAGAAAGTACCAAAAGAACACTGAACTTTTGATCCGTAAGCTGCCTTTCTAGAGGCTGGTGAGGGAGATTGCCCAGGATTTCAAGACGGATCTCAGGTTCCAGAGCTCTGCCGTGGCGGCACTGCAGGAAGCTGCTGTGGTTTACCTTGTTGGACTGTTGGAGGATACCAATTTGTGCGCTATTCATGCCAAGAGGGTTACCATTATGCCCAGGGATATCCAGCTTGTGAGAGGGCTTAAGGAGTTTGTTGACTTGGTTCTACAATTTCCTAGTTCCAGGGTAGGGTATTTTCTCCTTTTTATGTTTCTAATTGTAGGGTACTAGGGTTTTTTGGGTTTTGTTGATGAGATGCATGATGTAAATTTCAAGCCAATTGATGGTTGTTGCTGTAGAACCGGATGATCATGTATTAGTTATGAGATATGAATTGCAATGAAAGTTGAGTTATGAAGGATATGCTTTCTTTGATCATTTATTCTGTTGTCATTGATGAGTATTTGAAGGGGTTAAGATTTCATCGAACTGCGATCTTATTTATGCATTGAATTGGTATGGTGATTAAGTTTCTTAGGCTTTGAGATGCGTTTTAGTAATTATTTGGTAGATGACAATGGGAGTATGCCTGTAACTGAAACCTACAGATTTCAAAATGCCACAGAAGGCCAGTTGTGAATTTGTATCCTAAGCTGTATTAGTAGTGATAGTACACTGATAAGGAAACAACTGATTAGTGGTCACCAGTTCAATATTTAATATCTGCTTTATTCAACAGAAGAAATTCGGCTTCACTGCTGCTGTTTTTGGTTTTCTTGTTAAGGCATGAGTAGGCAAAATGAACTTCGATTGTGTAACAAGTGTGAATAGAGAGAGGGAAAGTTGAATCGGCAACGCCAGTTGAATGCCAGGGCATTGTTGGTAGTGATGACAGTTAGTTACTGGTACTTCAGGGAAAGTTGAATTATCATGCTCAAGTATTTCAGTTTTGCCTCTGTGTTTCACCCTGTTTATAGTAATCTTGCTGTAAATCAATGTAGTCAGTTGTAAGCTGTGCTAGCTTCTTTCATGCGTGATTTCTTTACTCTTATGGAAATCACTATTTGAGGGATTATCTCTCAGATTTGGTGAGTCACTCCTTCTGATGCAAATTACAATGGACCCAGTTCCAGATTTTGTATCTAAGACCTGAGTTAATTCAGCCTTTTGCCATGTAGTGGTTCGCAAGAGAAGTAGTGGTTGGGCATATTCTCTTTCTCTGTGGCAAGTGGCCCCCTTTTCTTTCTTACAGGCTGAAACAGCGGATAAGTCTAGTTCTCTGGGAAAGCCTGAGTATGAAGTCTCTGGTTCTTTTAATTCCTATGATGGTGAAGCAGTGTTGAATGGCCATTGAAAAATCTGTTCCAGAGATGCTGGTTAGTGCGAACTTGTTTTGGGATTTTTTATGTAGTTTAAAGCTACATACTCTGCCTCGTATTTTGGTAACAAAAACAAAAAATGAGGACATATAAAAACATTTAATGGAAATCATGTGGTTGGTTTTTAATCCATCGGCTTGGCTTTCAAGTGCGCCTGTTCTGGATACCCTGTTGGTGTTTGCTGCACATAATTTACCTCCCTATCACAGTAGTATGAGAAGTGTACTCTATTTGGTCTTTTAAACATCCAAATTTGCAATATCATGCAAGTCAAGTGGCTAAATGGCTTTTATAATTTTCTTTCATCGGGGGGGATGCTAAGTGAGGCATATACATTCACAATACTTCAGCGGGTAGTCTAAATTTCGTGTTATTAAAAGAGATTTTTTTGAACGTGTGTTTGTTAATCCATGGTTTAATGAAAACCTACCCTGAAAAAATCCAGGTCACAGGTTCCTTGCGCAGAGGTTTGAATTGTTGCCTGTAACGACTATTTCCCTTATCCTGTTTTCCGTATAATTATACTTTTATGCTGGTGGGGGTTCAGTTTGTTATCCATATACTATCTAAGAGGCACTTTGTTGAATCAAATGTCTTCTCCACAATCTTATTCTTGTTTTTTTGTGGAAGTAGTGAGCTTTGAGCCGTCTTTATGCATGATCTCTATAGCATGATATCTCATGCATTTATATTTTTGGCGACCTTCAGCTACCTTGCCATAATTTTCTATCATGCCGGAGACATGTCTGGAGCAATCATGCAACAACACAAGGAACTCATAATCAATGAACGATGTCTTGGATTGGATCACCCTGATACTGCACATACGTATATAAGTTTGTGTCTGTAAATTTCGCTTAATCCTCTGTGTTAACTGTAGCAGAATCTGAGTTACTCAATTGAGCTAGAGATTTATGAAAAGAGCCTTTAATCCTTCCTCTCCTTTTCATGGTGACTTCCAGCTACGGGAACATGGCTCTGTTTTACCACGGTCTGAACCAAACTGAACTTGCGCTGCGACACACGTCCTGGGCTCTACTACTGTTAAGTTTGTCTTCAGGTCCTGATCACCCTGATGTTGCGCCAACTCTTATAAATGTTGCAATGATGTATCAAGACATTGGAAAGATGAACACAGCTCTCATTATGCGCAAGAAGTCTTGAAGAAGAATGAAAGGCTTTTTGGAGAAGAACATATTCAAACTGCTGCTTTCTACGATGCACTAGCAATTGCCGTCAATTGTATGGGTGCATTTAAGCTCTCTCACCAGGTATGGTCTCTGCATCGACAGCTATGATTTAGTGCCTTCAATTGTATGGGTGCATTGAAGGCTTTTATCCCCATTCATCCAGCAACTGTTCAACATTATACATTCTGGCGTGAACTCTGAAGCAGCTAATAATGAAAATAATGGAGGCAACAAAAAAGTCATTGATCATCCTCCAAGCATAGCTGGGGATGCCCCAGTCATGAATCAAAACTGGTACAACAGGATCTGACTACCGTGGCATTAGACACAGGGTAGAAGCAGAAATCAAAAGGCATTGGGTCCTGATTTCTCTCAGGGGATCCCGTTTTGAACAGCCTTTCGAGTTACAAGAACTGTTCACTTGTTTTGTCGTAAGTATTGAGGATAAGTCATTCATCCAATCACAGTATGTTGGATAAGTCTTCATCCAATTATGTTCCATCTTTTATTCTTTTGGACGATAGGGTCGCGTAGCATAAGAGATGCAAATATCATCTTTTTGGTTGATTGAGATGCAGAACTGTTCAGGCAAAGAAATTCAGAATATATTGCTTCTGACTAGCAAATATGGAGCTCATCTAATTCATTCTTATAACTCTTATAGTGATTATGATGGTTATGTATTACTTGTGAATTGCAAGGAATGTTGAATTATGAAGGATATGCTTTCTTACATTAGTTACTTTCTTTTGTGATGGATGGTAGCCTGCCAAATCAACAAATAATATTATTCTAATTCCAAGTAAACATGGTATATGAAAGTAAGGTCGTCTCCACAGGGAATAGTGGATTCGGTTTTTTTAAATAAGTAACAAAATAGGGGGTTTTGGAGTTAGATGAAAAATATGAAAAATAAACTAAAGAATTAAAAGCTCTAGTCAAAGAAATTTAATCCACCTTTTTTCATGCAATGATTATCCATCCAAAAGTAAGCATTCAAGAATTAACTGAAGATGGCAATGTACAAATATGTATATTATCAATCTTGTATGCCTCCCACACTTGATTGATTTGGTTTGTTCCCATAAGTCAGAATCACATGAAAATCTTTAAGTTGTGCATTTTCACAAATGCAATACAATATGAAATTGCTATCTTCTGGCAACCGCGGAGGGAGAATTGATTGAAAACACTTCCATATGTAGAACGGGCATATGTCTGTCTAAGTTGAAAGAAAAACAAGACGTTTTTCCTATGTTATAGCTAGTATTAAGTATGACGAATAAATTTATCAAAAGTTTATTATCCATGGGCAAGTATCGATTATATTAAATTTGAATATAGTAATAATGGCATTATTTTCCTTTATCCATTTTTTATTCACTGATTGAGTTCTCTTTTTGGTTAAAACTCGTTCTTGGCATGATATTGGTTTGTTCTTTTATTCCACTGATTTCATAATAGGCCAAGAAGATAATTGGATTAGTTTTATCCGTATGTTGATATTAAAAGAAGATCAATATTAATTTTCAATATGTCTACAATTTTTCGTGACTTTACATTCAGTAAAAGTTTTTTTTTTAACGAAAATAGAGAGTTGTATTACCTTATAGTGTATTTTAAAAGAATTATCTGAACAATGTATGAGTTGATATCATGTCGAATTGATAGCTACACAGGTAAGAAAAAAAAAAACCAAAAGGAAGGAAATTGTGTATTTAGAGTTTTTTCTTATTGGACCAAGAGAGAAACATACTAATTTTTTTGGATCCATTTATTTGGAAATGATCTTAAAGAATAAAAGTATCAAACCAAGAAAAGCAAACAAGTTCTCACTATCTCTTATAAAGTAGAAAGGATGTACGAATTAACATAAAATATATATGTTTATGTTGGAAAAACCAGTGAAAACAGAACTGTTGACTAAAACTGAGGAGCTGAAAAAGCAGTTAGAGGATGAGAGGATGCTAGTAAGGTAGAGTTTGAATTGAACCAGAAACTGACAGATTTAGATGGTGAAAAAGCAAACTTGGTTTCGTGTGGAGATCGTGTGGAGATGTTTCTACTGCACTAGAAAAGTTGGCTGTCAGATTTGTTGGTGAAGATCATATCCACCATTTGGTCAAGTTCTTTATGAAGAAATGCTCTAAGGTAGCTTCCAAGTTGTGGTATGGAGTTGCATTTTTGTTTCAAGCTGTTGATTAACCTCAAGACTTGAAGACGAAGTTGACTTTAAAGAAATGGCATTGGTTAGATTGCAGCTCTGGGAAATGATGGGTGAAGATTGCAGGGGTGCCATTCTAGGGAACTCAATATCAATGGGTCAGCTTACTATCATCAAAGAAAGAGAGAATGTAATTCAGGCTGATACTCTTTTGCGTAAAAATGGTGAAACAGAGCCTTTAGAATCAGAGTTTCCCAACCATAAACAACTGATGAGATTTGACAGAGCACTGGAAAGTTTGACAGAAGCTGATGACATTCACCTGAGAGTTGCACTTGTCAAATGGTCGAGGGGAAACATTGGTCAACCTGCTATCAGAATTGCAATTCAACAGGGGGAAGCCATTTCCTGATACCGCTACAAAAGGATGCTGAGATGAGGATTTCAGAAATTAGGCATCATCATTATAATCAATTTTACTTTCATGGCTGCTCCAACACTTTGGTTTCCTGGCTGGAAGTTTTTGGAGAAGTTGGAGCAGTTCAAAGAGGGGAAGATGCTGCAAATTACATTCAGCAATCATGGGAGAATGAGTTTCATTTGCCCAACTTCAACTTCATTCAAGCTATGAAGAGTTGGAACGCTTGGGACAAGAGTGTAATGGTATTCAAGGGAGGCACACTTGTCTTATGTCGGTTGTGGTTGAGAACCAATATGTTCACTGCTGTTATGATTCAGTCTTCTGACTTGGTTTATTTTTCTTTAAAAGTCTTGTGGTTAAGACTTTGTTTAACGAGGAGGGAATACCATGCCCCAGGATTTGTTTAGCATTTGGCAATAGTTCAGGGACTTGATAGCAATTTTTGAATAGTCAAGTCGGAGTATAAAGTCTCTAGTCAATTTGTAATAGAGGTATGCAAAATCAAAATAGTAATAATATTGAACAGTTTGTTCTTCTTTTCTCGTTCCCGGTTCTTGGAACCGTTTTCCCTTTTTCCCATTTCCGGCCAATCCCAACCGATCCGGCGAGGAATTCTGGCTTCCATTTCTACGCTCAAGTCTCAAATTTACATAAATGAATAGTTTTTTAAAAAAGATAACTCAATTATTTATAAGTCTTTAACATGCGCCAAGATGTTCTTTCAGCCCAAAGGTTGATCATCGTCTTCCTTGTTGCAGCTCTGAAACTGATAATCTAGATAATTAAGGTTTCAATTGTGTGAGCCCTTCCCCTGCTCTTGAAATCTCGCCACTTTTCATTCCTTCACACAACAAAACATCGCTCACTTTTCATCCTTCAAACAACATACCTGGAGTTGGGATTGATGAATTTTTTTGTGATAATTATCTTGCAAAGTAAAATGATGGGGTTTCCATTGGCAATGCAATTTTGCCTTGAGATCACAGTTTACACTTCCATAAATAATGAGAACAAAAAGAGTTCAGAGAACGGAATTGTAAATTGATGTTTTGAGAACCGAAGTTGGCTGATGATGGTTGATAATCAACAGATGATGTTGCTTTTCTGCTATATATGTTTGGATATAATATAATGATGTAGTAGAGTTGTAACGCTAGGTATTTGATTTTTTGCACCAAAGATTTACAATTGAGAATAAGTTTTTCCAAATCCATTCCTTAGTTTCTCAAATATTGTAGCAAGAGAAAAAGTAAAATAACTAGAGAGTAAAATTAGATTCTAGCTTTGGTATGGAAAGGTTCAATTATTACTAACTCTTCCGCACCTCGTGCTATCTCCACCACCCAATTGGTTTGTTGTTCATCACAAAGATCCATTATGTTCCTGCCTGTTTCCAGAGCCATTACCCGAACAACACGAAAAAAACAATAATTGTCAGGCCGACAACACATGCACCTAGGATGAACCCGAGGAAAATATTTTTCGAAGAAGTAGGGGACAAAGAAGGCCCCCTCCACAATCCTGATGCACTCGGGGCACCAATCCAGAGCGTTGAATTCATCCTTCGTAATTGGGCCACTTCCGTCATTTAACTAGAAGCATTCCTTTTTTTTTTGGTATGAGGGGACTAATCATGGAATTTGAAACCAAAAAACAACTCCTAACTTGTAAACTAGAAACAATTTAGGATTTACCTTTACCCAAACAAGAACTCGCTTCCAGCTCCTCCTTAAGAACACACTCTCGACCAGAGGGGCACGAATCCATACTTGGAACAGTGTTCTGTGACTCCCCTCTTCCAGAATCTAGACTCAGGTTAACAAATTTGAGAATTCATTATTCTACAACTGCTGATTCATTATTCTAGAATCATACGCAAAATTAAGTTATATTAGTAGAAACAGGACAGAAGAATCATGATGGAAATTATTGTGTGTTTATTCAGATAAATACAATGGCCTATATATACAAGAGGAGTTGACTCCTTTCCTAAATTACTTGACCAATCATATCATGATTAAATCACCAAATTAATTACCTAAATCAAATAAAATATTCTAATACTAACTCATCCTAATTTTACTCCATTGATCATGCTAACACCCCCACTCAAGTTGGGACAACTTGAGGTTGCTAAGAGAGCCAATAGTTCTCAAAGCGGTAGTGGTAGACGAATTTACATAAAGCGCATAAACAAGGAAGAATCAAGAAACTGAATCAATGCGACAGATTTGCATCAAAGATAGAGGTGCGATCAGACAAATTCAGTGACAGATTCAAAGACAAGATCATAGTTGCAGACGAACTTCAAGGTACTGGAACATATGGAGCAATCAGACAGAAACATATTGCAAAATACCAAGCAGAGCAGACGGTGGAAAACACCGGTAGACACATCAACAGATTTCCAACAGCGGAAGAACCAGACAAAAGCAATTTCGGGCATGAGAGGCCAGCATAGGGCCGAAAGAAAAAACAGACAGGAGACAGAAGGTATAAACCCAACAAAATTGAAAAGGAGAAAATAAAAATAAATATTCAAGCGAAACTCATGCCAACAAAATGAAGCCGGAAAAAGTGTTTACCTTCTGCTGGAATATGATTAGATTCAATCGCCGGCAAGTAGTTGGAAAAAGTCACCCAATTCATGAGGATACAGAGGAAGATGACGCGCATGATGCTTGACATTGGTGGAATTTCTGTGAAAAATTAAAAATGGGATCTAATTTATAATGTTGTAAAACCCATATCTAAACTCCTGATTGTCTTTCACCCCTGAAAGCAACTCACTATGATTGTCCATGACTGAAGCCCAGTTGGAAAAAAGTTCTCATTTCAGAATGAGTAGTGTCATTATTACTTTTGAGTGGTGTTGGTAATCCAAAAACTTGATGTCTATCTATCCAATTGCATTCTCCACGAAAGAAAAATGCCAAAAACTCAAGGTATTTGAGTTTAGTCATTGATTTGAAACAAAATTTTAAACAACTTTTATTTTCAACCATTTCTAATGATATCACCAATTCCGCCTTTCAACCATCACCCCATTATCAGATTTATTATTTTTGAGCTACGTCACCATCTCATCCTAAGATTTCGTACCTAATAGCAGATTTCCGTCGATTCATTACTCAATGAAATGATCATTTCTTTGCACCTTATTGATATTGTATATCTAATCTTTTGCCATCTCGTTGATATGTATCCATTTTTTCAATGCCTTATTCTAAGCAATCACAAAATATTTCAAAATATTTCTCAAACTGCATCCTAAACTCAAAATCTCACACAAATGTATTTTCAAGAATAGTTCAATTTAAAAAATTTCTCTCGTAGCTAAAAACACAATGCAAACTAAGACTTTCTTTTTTAAAACATATCTATATATTTATATTTATATATGTATATGCACACACACACACAAGAAAGTTAGTTACCAGAATTTATTGAGATGAGAGATTTCACACATTGAATTTCCCTCGTAGCTAATGCTTGTACTTTCCCAATACTAGATACAAAATTTTAACTGATGAAACTGAAATTAAAAAAAAAAAAATCCACCCCAGTGGACACCACTTAATTGTGGGTAAAACCTCCCTTACATACCCATTGGTGGGAATTGAACGCAGACCTAATACTAGAAAGTATTGCATCATAAACCCCCCTTACATATCCCTTGATAAGATTGAATTTTAGTAAATTTAATACATTGAAATGATGTGTGTGTGAGTTGATTTGATATTTTTTTGTTCATGTTTCTATATGTAACATGATTGAGCTAAAAGTATTAGAATAGGACAAACCTTATAAGTGGAGTAACATTTTTTTGTCTTTTATTTTTCTTTATTTGAAGAACTCAACGTTGTACTTGGTACTTGATATTAATACGATTAATGATGAATGAGATAAAAACTTTCCGATTTTGACTAATCTAACAATGAAATTGAATGGATTCACTCAGAAGTTCATAATAGTTTTAGGTGGAATTGACCAGCAGAGAGTGACAATGACTAAAGGTTGGACAAAATGTCTAGTTGTTTGAACTACTTTGAAGTGGCTACTCTTCTCACTTTTTCATTGCCCTCGGATTTATTATCCTCCTTAAACCATGAATAGAACTTTTTCAAGTTATTGATTTCCACTGCAAATCTTCACAGATCATGCTTGGGAAGCAATTCAACGTAAATGGTCGTTCGACATAAGACAGACAATCCTTTATGGGCTCTTGAGAATGAAGACATACAATCTTTTCTCAATTAATAATTCACATGAAAACACATGAGTGATCTTCAATACAACATCTTAAGCATTTGATGACAGAACAGAAGTCAAAGCTCAAATGAACCGGGTTAAGGAGTGGGAACACTACGAACGTATCTTTAGAAATAACGAAAAGAGTTCTTATATCTGAAATTTTATGTTGTTATTTCTTCTATAGAAGAGGATTTAAATAATTCATTCACTGATGAGAATTCTATTATATTGACAACTCTATAACAACGTAATTAGAAAAAAGAAAAACAAAAGATTCTCAAAGACTCATTCTAATATTTTATCTATCCCTATATCTGTTAGACATATTTGTTAATTTATACTTTAGACTAAGTTTTTGCAATTAAAATAAAAAATTAACCAATAAACACGATACCTATTAAGATTTCAAAGATACTAAAATGATTTCTCCTTCAAACTAGAAGAGGTATATCAACTAAATCCTCTCTATAAGAAACAACATGGTATGGATGAGTATGAGTTGTCTCTTCTTCCACAAATTTAATTTCAGCATTGTTTGTTGAGTGAAAATTGTGTGTCACTTTGAATGTCTCCACTACATTTGTGTGAAACAAAAGATAGACCATAACAAACACATAGACCCCTATCAAAGGAAGTACAACTATTCCAATGGATACATCCGGATCATATGGATGACTTGACAGAAATTCAGCGTCTGTCCATTCCCGTGGATAACTTGATTCTCATAATGATATTAATGATATTAATCTAGCTCAAGGCAATGCTCATCCTTCTCGTTATATAATTAATAGAAAACAGTCTCATATGGGATATTACTTGGTTGATGGTATTTATCCCAAATGTTCTACGATTGTTCAAATGATTCGTAAACCTATCCAAGAGAAACATAAATAATTAGCAAAAAGACAAAAGGCATATAGAAAGGACGTGGAGCGTGCATTTGGAGTGTTACAAATCGATCCAGATGTTGCTGATGCTTTGTACCAAAAGATATTGAAAATTTGGACCGAGAGTAAGCTAAAGGAGAAATATCCAGAATTGACCGAACCGCAGCCCCTCCCATTTCCGCCAGTGGAGAAAAAGAAGGGGGAAGACAGGTATGGTGGTCATCTTAAAGCTAAGAAGAATGACATTGTAAAAAGTCGCCTAAAACATCGCTGATGAGAAACAGAAAATTCGTGGATGGATTGAAAGCGTGCACATAAACCTCATCCCAATCGACGAACACCCTCATGTTGTGGAAGCTGAAAGACAATTTTATGTTGCTGGTTTGAATTACTGGTTAGCAAGAACTACATAGCTCAATTATCCAACAATGAAAAAGTGGGTTCACAAAAAGGTGGATAAGGCAAAGAAAAAGTAGAAGAAGATATTGTTGCATGCCATTGTTAGTTTCAACATTCCAGTTATTGAAGTCCAAAATAAAGTTTCAATTATGCATGTCTTCTAAGTGTTAGTATTCTTAGTTTTATGAAGCTTTAGGGGCCAAAAATAAATTCAAGTATGTGTTTCCGGTAGTTCTTTCCGGCAGTGCTCCGACGTCATGATTAATTCCACTGTAGTTAGTTTGTCTTTATTAATAAATAAAATTTTTCTTTTTAAAATGGCAAGTAAAACTTTCCTCGTTCTTCTAAACTTGTTTAACAAAATACTCATCTTTCGCGCGAAAATTCATAAATTTTAAACGTTGTTCAGAGAAAGTCTGTTATTCTCCCTAAAAATAAAAGGTAAATTGTAAATCGGCATTCCATTATTTTACAAATCAATGATGATTTGCAATCAATAATAATGGAGCAAGGATACAACATTAAAAAATTAGTGAGAAATATTATAATTTATATAGAGACAAAAATATCAACTTCCATCCTTAATAACTACCGACTAACAATAGATAGTTATGTAAATATTTATGTTATGCATCATTTTAGCATGTTTCTTTACAAATTAATTTGATCCTTGATTTCAAGAGTAGCTTGTGCAAAACCCAAACATAACCTTAGAGAGAATTTCTTGCTCAAAACTCAAAAACTTTTTATCCAGATTAAGGTTGAAATTCGCTAAATGAAAGACAAGGACTCTTTTACTGACGGGGAGACTAACATAACTGGTAGAATCCACTATTTCATCCATGTTCGCAGATCACATGGGTTTTTAGAAATTTTGTTTGCCACTTTGGACGATATTGAATAATGGAACAGTGTGGTTGCCTGAATTTGTGAATCGAACCGGGTCACGGGATCCAATTCTAGTAGGATTAAACTCTGAATTGAAGTCAAAATCAAAATCCAATGTTTCCGAAGCAGTCACTTTCTGAGCAAACACAAACAACTTTCTCCTTCATCTTTTCCCTTCCTCAATTCAAAAATCAAGACATTTCCTACATATATGATTTTTGTAGCTATAAGCAAATAATGTCATGTACTCAACACAGTTCACATTAAACATAAAATCGTTCATTCATATATATTTATAAAAAAAATAAAATAATTAGTGACAATGACTTTGACATATGAACATTCTTTACTAATCACATTTACATTTCATCTTCATCAATTAGATGAATATTTTGAATCCGCTTTCTCTTGAGATCAAACACTTTTACCACGAGGAACTATTTAAAGATAAACATAAATTAACTTACAAAAACTGCATTACCAAATTAAGTGTTTTACGAGCAATAAAATATAAAGTACTTACATGTACGGTAAAGACGTGTTGATTCATCTTCAGGTTCAGCCTCGTTGTTTTTGTCAATCTACTGCTCTTCATCAGAATTTTTATATGCACTATCATCTAGAGCCTTCAACCAAGTGGAATCTGGAAGAACATTCACTTCCGCAACTAACCATTCATCATTTGAAGGAATATGTTCAATTTCTTCTTTTTTCTACACCATCATATTTTTGTCTACATGGGAGAAATTGTTTCTTCTGTTGCAATTTCAAGTAGACATTATAAAGACCAAATCATTCATGCGGTCGTGAGCTAAACAATTCCTTCTTTTTGAATGTACTTATTTATTTCAAAAACATAATAAATGTAGATCATAAACTATATATATTAAATTCAAATATCTAAATAGTTTACAACGTAAAAACTATAGTTACCATTTCAAATGCACTCCAATTACACTCACAACCATTTGAGCTACAGTCAAACTCATCACTCTAATTGCAAATCTTTGTAACTTTGGACAATGATCTCCAAAAGAATCCCACCAATCGGTTAAAGTAGAGATGGAACAAAATCATATCCATTAATGTTTGCATCTTATAATGAATTGAAAGTTAAAAACTTGTACATGATGTTTAGTTTGTGAGAAAAGATGGAGAGAATTACCAAGAGATTTCTTGTCCCTCGTCTCAACAACATTTTCACGTCCAAACATTCTCTCTGCATGTTTAAAGACATCCAATTGCTGGTCAATTTTGATTCTTTCATTCTAGTTCGGGAGCGATCGACCAATACAATCATAAAGACCCGTTTTCACAATCGGATAGCGACCAAAGTCAGAATTGTGCTAATATATCGGTTTAAAAAATACCCAACAGCATGCAGATCATGACTGGAAATTCCTTCCCATCGTTTGTCAATGATATCAAACACCTGCTCATATCTACATCAAAACAAATCTTCAAAAATTATTGAATATCCACTTTAAAAAACAATCAACTGTACTATTAACAAATAAAAATATTTTACCTTCTTTTACCATTTTTCAAGTCACCTTGAATATCTTGTTTTGCATTTTTAATTGCCTTATATAAGAAGCCCATTGCAGGTCATCTGAATCAACCATCCTCAAGACTTTGATAAGAGGACATGCAATCTTTAGGCATAACTCAACATCGGGCCAAAACTTTTGAGAATAAAAAATGATGCTAAAAATTGTTCCTCTTTCTTTTTTTTTTTTTTTGAAATACACACTATTCGCCCACTTTTCATATGCGAAAAAACAAAGCAAAAAATATCACTTTTCAACTCATTAAGGCGGCTCAAAGTCAAATCTGAAGTGGCAAAACGTGTCAGAGGACGCCTAATCAACTCTTTGCCATTTGTGAACTCTTTCATCCAATTAAGAAGTGTACTAGAAGAGTAAATAAAGGAAACCACCAGCTCAGCCTTAGCTATAGTCTCCTTATGCACAGTATCATGTTTATCCGAATTTTCTAACATCAAATCTATGTAATGAGCAGCACAAGGAGTCCAATACAAATGTTTCCCTTTCTCCATTAATTTTTTTTCCAGCTGCTTTATAATTGGAAGCATTATCAGTTACAACTAGCACAACGTTGGCTTTTCTTACGTGTTCAACAACCTCATCCAACAAAAGAAACAATTTTTGAGTTGTCTTGGAGATATGAGTCATTGAGTTGCATCAACAGAAGTACAAAACGTAAGGAAACAGTTCCAGCAGGCTATTAACAAGAAAATTAATGATTGTTCTCTTCCTTTGATCGGTCCACACATCGAACATGATAGTACAACCTGTTGTTTTCCGTTGTTCTTTATACTTTTGGATTACATTTGGAGTTATCTCCACTTCTCTCCTCAAGAAAGTCTCCTTAAACAAATTTTATATTCGATATGGATCTTATTTTGAAAATCTCAATTAGAAATTTAATATGATCTAACTTTCAGAACATAATTTATTTTGCAAGTTTAACAATATAGCAAACATGTATTTGGATCAAAGTAAAAAAATAGTGCACCAAAGATAGTGTAATAGATAATTTATACAAAATTTGATGTAACACTATTCACTCCACTAAAATAGTGCACTGATTTGGTGTTTTCGTTGGACTGTAAACTTTACACAAAAAAAAAAAAATCAAATTTAGTGTTTTGGTGTGCTCTAAGTTAGTCAAAAGAGTACTCGAAATTGTTACACAAATAATATATTGAAATTCACTCTTCGGACCATAAAAATGTCATGTTCATTGTAATCTTTTAGTTTAATGAATATGATTATTCCTTTGGACATATTTAGCACGTTACTCAACAAAATGTTAAATAAATAAATGAAACGAAGCATTTTGTTTTTTTTAGTTGAAAAGATGAGTTCATTTGTCATGAGAATTAAAAATGAGTGAATATTTAAATAAAGTTTTCCAGTGGATAGAGCAACATAGTGGGGAGTGGGGACTTAGAATAGACTTTTCTTAATGCTTGTATCATTAACCAAATTTTTTTTCCCAAATAGATTTTTTTTTGGGAAATTTCGTGAAAAATGTATGATAGAGGGAAATGAAAAGATTTAGGACAATTTTACAAAAATAAAAAAAGGTTAAGATGTAGAGTATTTATTTTTAGAGAAAAAGTGCGGTAAACTCCAAATAAAGCTACGAATCCATAAAGAAGCCCCAAAGATTCCCGCTTCCCGTGCGAAATCCGAAAATTCAAAAAATTCGCGCTGTCTACGTGTTTCTCTTTGATTGGTTATTTTTGACTCATGCAGATTATGATCTTCCGCTCATCCTTTCTTCACATTTCACCGTTGATCATTTTCCGAATCCAACGTACCAAAATTCGCCCCCAATTCCGAAAAAGTCGAACCCACCGCCAAAACCCCCTATATAAACCCTCAACACCATTTCTGCATTTCATTCACACAGTTCACAATTCATCAAATTGAAATTCAGTTCTCTTTTCATTGTATTGCGATCCCGTTGAATCAATGGCACGTACGAAGCAAACAGCTAGGAAGTCCACCGGAGGAAAGGCACCAAGGAAGCAGTTGGCCACCAAGGCAGCCAGGAAATCGGCTCCGGCGACCGGAGGAGTGAAGAAGCCCCACAGGTTCCGTCCCGGAACCGTTGCTCTGAGAGAAATCAGGAAGTACCAGAAGAGCACTGAGCTTCTGATCCGTAAGCTGCCTTTCCAGAGGCTGGTGAGGGAGATTGCCCAGGATTTCAAGACGGATCTGAGGTTCCAGAGCTCCGCCGTGGCGGCGCTGCAGGAGGCCGCCGAGGCTTACCTTGTTGGACTGTTCGAGGATACCAATTTGTGCGCTATTCATGCCAAGAGGGTTACCATCATGCCAAAGGATATCCAGCTTGCTAGGAGGATTAGGGGCGAGAGGGCTTAAGAACCCTCTTCTCTAATTTCCTTGTTCCAGACAGATTAGGGTATTTTCTCCTGCTTATGTTTCTAACTTTAGGTAGTAGGGTTTGTTGTTTTTTCCTGGGAAGCTAAGGGTTTTGGAGATGGCATTGATGATGTAAATGTCAAGCAATTAATGGTTGGTTCTGTAGAATCGAATGATTAAGATGGTGATGTATTAGTTAAGTGTTGCAGAGAATGTTGAATGTTGAATTATGAAAGATATGCATTCTTTCAAGTTTCTTTCTGTTGCTTTTTATTGTTGATGAGTATTTGAAGAAGTTAGATATCATTTAATTGGTATCTTATGTATTGAATTTGCAAGGTGATTGTGCTTGTTTGGATGTCAACTTACGTTTCATTTTGTTATTTTTTGTCACTTAAATGTGGAAAATATTTCAAATTAAAAACTAAATGTAAAATAAAAATATTCTTTGAATGTTAGTTTTGAAAAAAATATTTTGAACTACATTTTGAATTATCAAGTAGAAGTCATCACTAAACAATTAAACACTGTTAATTATAGTCACTGCAACAAAGAATTTTTTCAAAAACAAGTATTCAACAACAGAATCCTGCTAAATTTGTCACTGAACTATTTGTAGTTCTAAAATGGTCATTACACTAATAAAAAGTGTTTCAAATTAGAATTTAATATGTAAATTAGAAAGTTGTTTGAATTATGTTTCTTTTCCATTGAGTTTTGTATTTAAGAGATAAAATGAGTGAAAATGTAAAATGAAAAGTTAGTCCAAACAAGGCCTATTCTTAAGCTTTGAGATGGTAACAGAAAACTACAGATCATAAAATCTCAAAGAAAGCCGGTTTTGAATTTGTTGTATCTAAGCTGTACTGGTGGTGAGGAAACACAGATAAAGAAACAACTGACTCAGTCACCAGTTCAATATTTGTAGTATGCTTTATTGTCAAAAGGAATCTGGCATTACTGCTTTGTTTTCTTCTTCTGGTTAAGGCATGAGTAGACAAAATAAACAGCAATTGAAGGGTCAGTGCAATGAAAACAGTGTCCCTCTCACAAAATACATATGTTGAATTGAAATAAAGAAGTAGCAAACACCAAACATATGGAATGGATTAGCAGAAAGGTGCAAATTGTAAGATGAATCTGTGAAGTAGTACAATAGCTTCATGTGGAAGAGGAGCGAATTACATCATGCAAATTGAGGGATGACACATGAATGAATTGGATTACAAAATAATATCCATCAACAAATGAACTCAGAACCTGAAAGAAGCAGCCAGAGATCTACTCTACTTCTGTACCATCTAACAACAAAAATTTCTCAGTTTGTCTGCCACCAAAATACTCAAAAATGTCTCAGTCCTTCACCTTACTCAATTCCGGGATCTGGTTGCAAGCCATTGCAGCAACCTGGGTACAAGCCTCTCTTCAAGCAAGTGAGCTTTGCAGTCTGTGCAAATAATTTGAATGTTCTTCTGAGCCTCTGCCATGGCCAAATTGATTAGACAATCCTTCACACAGATGAAATAGCCTCTGCATTTGCAAGAAGCTCGAGCCATGTATTCAGGAAGTTTCTTAAAACCACAAACGGCACATCCAATCTTATGTGGCCGGGTGATCAGCCGCTTCTTTGAGCCGTTTTGCAAACAGACATAAGACCTGCTTGCGGTAACTGTGAAGATTGAAAGTTAAAAATACCAATAAACCATAATTTCATCACTTTGCATTACAGGGTATCATAATGAACAAAAAACAGTGTACCTTTCATAGCAGAAGAAGATTGAGCTTCAGAATGATCCCGTTTTCGAATTCTCATCTCCCTTTCCAGATACAAACTATCAACTATCACTAAGGAAAACAATAACAGAAGGATTAGTATTAGGTAAAAGAATAGAATAAAATGTTGAGCGCAGGCAGAAATCTACCGTTCCTAATATTTGCCTCTGTTCCTTGTTCTATGTTGTCGATCTCTCCATCATGATGGACCTCTCCATGTTCATCATCTAAAGCTTGTAACCCGGCTGGATTTTCAGGGACAGCTTCTTCAAGATCTTCATCCTCGGCTGTTTCGAACAGAAATTGAAAATAGAAACACATTCTAGGATTGATTTGTTCCACACAGAAAAAGAAACAGAGATGAACCATTTTAGTGAAACTATTACCTTGATCAGACGAAGTTCCCGCGTCCAGGAAGCTATATTTTGCCGGTGGATTACCTTCATCGTCGCCTGGAAGGTGTAAAACCCAACAAATCACGTTCCGGATCCAATCAGGGGGAACAATTTTTACAGCCTGCTTCATTTCTTTCTTCAAAAATTCATGGCCGCCTCGAAAACTTGAGCAGGACTTATCCATTTCTGTGATCCAAATTCAACTTTTAACGTTCTAATTCAACACAACCTATGATCAAACCAAATGTTGTACATTTCAGCGAAAAATTAAGTATATATATTCTTCGTACCTTGCATTATTAAAAAGAATTCAATTTGACGTTCGTGTTCGTCATCATTGTACTTCAGATCATCTGCAAATCAGAAAACAAAGTCCAAAAATGAAAAACAGTGACCAGAACTTCAAATATGAAAAAAAGGTTTTTTTATATTCTAACATAAAACAAAAGCCGCTGATTGCCTTTCAGGGCATATTAACGAACAAAAACACAGTATCTTCAATAGCAGCAGCAGAAGAAGATTCAGCTTCATAATCACGTTCAGTAGTTGGGGCCCAGTTTATGGATTCCTGTGATCAAAAAGTCAACCTTTCATGGTTCTAATTCAACAAAATCCGTAAACAATATTCAACAGTGAAAATTTTGGTGTTCATGCCTAGCCTTGATGAACAGATTGTTTTCAAAATTTGACATCTGTATGAATCACATCAAGCCGTACGAATTCGCAGCAAGAACTACCGGAACTTCATCCATTATACTATGAACAAAAAAATTCAATGCTGTAAAGGAAGGCTAAAAATTTCGCATTAATTAAGAAAGAAAATCCTTTATGAATCAATTACCATCAAGATGCTTCTCAGGCATATCATCATCAGCACCATAATGACGAATTCCTTTTCCTTGATCACCATGACCATCATCTCTGACTGGATGGGCTTCTTGCTCTGCTTCTGGGTTTGCCGGAGATGATCCTTCAACTGCTTCGACTGGTTCTTGATTTTCTTCCTGCAGTTCAACTTCAACTACTGGGTTTTCTTGATTTTCCTGCTGCCCATCTTCTTCTTCTCCCATTTCCTGCTCCACATCAACACCATCTCCATCAACATTATCCCCAATTCCTTCTTCTGGGACATTCAATGCCTCACCCTCTGCAACATTATCCTCAACCCCTTCTTCTGGAACATTTAATCCATCATCACCGTTAACATTTCCTTGAACCCCTTCTCCTGGGACATTCAATTCATCAATGCCGTCATCATTAACCAATTCTTCCTGGATATTGAATTCATTGTCTCCGTCAACATTGGGATCAACCTCTTCTTCTGGGATATTGATCAATTCATTGTCACCCTCAGCATTGGGATCAGCCCATTCTTCTTGGATATTCGGTGCATCTTCAGGCTGAACTTTATCATCAACTTCGTCGGGTTCAGGTTCATGAAACCCTTTTCCTGGGACAATCAATTCACCGTCAGGGTCAACTTCAGATTCTTGACGCAATCTCCTTGATCTTCCTCTTCTGTACCTCTTCCTCCTGTTCTTCTTGGCCATCTTCCGCGTGATTCTTTTCCCCATTTTCTCGAAACAGCAAAATACAATGGATTCTTTGGAGAGGTTTCTACTTCCAAACCCTAATTGAAATCCGTAATTCGCGGAGAAGATGAATTACAGGGAAAACAGAGTGAAGAGATAGTAATATATGAAGTGTGTTTTTTATGCGGAAATCTGCATATCATTTCAGTCAACCGCTATTCGTCTTTCTTTTGACTTTTCTCCAACAATAAACTGCCCGTCTAAACGGTTAAGAATTCTGTGAAATTACACAATAAGTCTCTTCACTTTATTAAATTCGGAATCAACCGGTTATCAATTGTCATACCTGGCCTTTCACATTTGATGACAAGGTTTTTTGGTTTGGTTGCATTTTTCTTTTTTCTTTTTCATAATCGTAAATAGATTTCATTGTGCAAAAGGAATTTCGTCTATATATTTGATTTTTATACGAGACTCTTCACTAAAATCCTTTAATAGATTAAAATAGTTTTTTGATAATTTATAGCCTCCTTCTTGAAATAGTTATCTAGTGAAAATTTTTATTTTTAGCTCAATTATACTAAAAAGAAGAAGTAAATATAAATAATCATTTTGGGACGAAAGAAATAAAATTCATACATATTCAACACGTTCATACCTTGTCACAAGTGTTAGTTTGTACAATAATCATACTAATTGGTTTTAGACCAGGAGATATGTAGCTCACCATCATTTAAAGAATTCAAAACCTACATTTTGGCCTTATGCTTAAAAGATCACTCAAGTATTTCTTTCGTCCTAAAATAAGAGTTTTATAAGAGTTTTATCGAAAAAATGAGACTTTTTTTTTGGACACAGGAGCAATATCCAAAACAACCAATGTGTAGTGGTGCTAGTCTTTCTTTGGTTAGGTCCTAGTGACTTATCTTAGCTATAATATTGTTCAACTTCATTTCTAATCAAACGAGATTTTCTTCTTCATTTGAAAATTTTATTGATTGCTTGGATTATAGTGCCAATTGGGTCAACAATCGTCACTTGAAATGATGCTTAAATAGTTTCCGGTAGATGAATTGTTACTTTGAGCTTCAGTGATTCTGCTCCTGAACCGGTTTTACCGTTGGGAAGAAATTTTGTTACTGCTTGTCCATGAAATAGTTGTCAATATTGTTTGTTTGACACTGATAGAGTTCTGCAAAGGTGCTACACAGTTCAGATTGTAGCATAGATTTAGTTTTAGAAGATGTATGCGATGGATTTCCATTATAGCCCCTGTATATGAACTGTATTTATAGTGACTTAGGTAGGGATAGATTTGGAAATTGCTTGTACAGCTCCTATAAATAAGGCAATATAAATACTGTGTCAGGTTGAAATGATAAACCACTTCCTCAGCCCCTCCCATTTACGCCTTCTTTTTCCCCTTCCTTGTTTTTCCCTTTTTTATTTTTCCTTCCAACAAACCAATCAAACATGTCTTCAGTAGTGCATTCCGCTTCAATACCATCTCCTAAAGGGTTGAGTTTTCCTTCAAAGTTAGGCACTTGCATCTCCTCCAAACTTCAGTTTTCCTCTTAAGAAATTTGCCATGGGTCCAATCAAAAGACCTAAAAGTCCACTTTTGATAGTTCATGTTAAGAAGGATGGGAAGAGCACCAAATGTGACAACATCGATCCAGACGTTGCTGATGCTGTGTACCAAAAGCTATTATCAATTTGGACGGAAAATAACCTGGAGGAGCAATACCCCAAATTGACCGAACCGCAACCTCTCCCATTTCTGCTGGTGGAGAAAAGGAAGGGGAAAGAAAGATGATAAGATTAATCAAAGATCTCCTTAGTTAGATTAGATAGATTCTATTTGTTTAGATTATTTCAGATTTTCTAATATTTAGATCTTAACTAATCTTGATGTATGCCTATAAATAGAGCCAATATAATGTAATGTAACACATAATACAATTCATGATTTCATCTTCTTTCACAAATCTATTTCTCTTCATAGTATCAAGAGGAAAATCAATCCTGCACTAATTTTTTTTTCTTCACACTATCCCACCAATGATTACCCCAAAAATCACTACTACACATACTATTTTACATACTACTACACTTTATTTTTTATTTTTCGCTTTTTTCCTTTTCTTTTACTCTAATCATAATTGTTTTAAAATGACTATTTCACAATCACCATCTACTATCACCATTACTCAATCATTTCCTCTCTCCAACATCACAAATTTTATCACTGTATCTCTTGATAACTCTAACTATCTAATTTGGAGAGATCAAATTGAAGGGATTTTAATTAACACCGATCTCAATGGTTATATTGATGGTTCTATTTTACCACCAAAAGACTCTTCATCTGATTCTACTATTTCAAATAATTTCTTCAATGGCAAAAACTTGATCCTCTTGTCAAATGTTGTCTCACTGCCTCGTTGTCTTCTTCAATGGCATCGGTGGCACTGGGCTGTCCTACTGCTCGTGACCTTTGGGTCAAACTCGAGCATCATTTTCTTCAACAATCTACAGTGCACAGATCTCAACTATGCCAAAAAATTCATAATTTTAAGAAAGGTTCTCTTACAGTCAATGATTTTCTCAATTCATTATCAACTATGGCGGAAGAACTTTTTGCTGTTGAAGATACTATCCCTGATCATGATCTTGTTATTCTCGCTCTTAATGGTCTCTCATCTGAATACACTTCCTTCATTACCACTATGGATAATCTCAACTCTCCTTCCTCATTCATAGATTTTCGAGCAAAACTGCTTCTCCATGAGCAACGTTTGCAATCATTTTTGCCTTCACCAGAAGTTGCACTCCATACTACTGTGAACTTACTGGTTAATAGTTTTCGGTCTCGTGGAAGACAGGCACAACCCAATTCAGGTCGTGGTCATAGTCAATTCTCTCCTTAATTTCCTAATAACTCAACTCCGCACTCATTTTATTCCAACCCCAATTCATATGGTCTAAATCGTCCCTTCAACACTACCCAAAATTGCCCAAACCAAGCCCAATTCCCCACCCACCCTTCTCCTCCCTATAAGCCTTATACTTCATCCTTTAGCCCTTGCCCCAACTTTACCCAATAACCCAATCCTACCCAATGCCAAATCTGCAAAAAATTCAACCATTCCGGTGCTATTTGTCGTTTTCGCTACGCTAAATCTTGCAATAATCAAACTCATCGTTCTTCTGCTCCCACAAACATGCCCACTGCTTTTCATATCTCTACTGTCCAAGACTCCCAACCTCAAGAATTTTCATCCTTTATATTTAGTGACATCCCTGAATGGGGTCCTGATTCTGGTGCCCAGGCTCATGTGGCACCCGATCCTCTTTTAGTGGATTCCACTACTCCATATCATGGTAATCAGCAAGTGGTTGTTGGCAATGGTACTACTCTTCCTCTTACTTTTATTGGTCACACTACACTCACAAAGCACCCAAAAACTCTTTATTTACATAATATTTACATTGCTTCTCAATTTACTACAAATCATTCATCTGTTGGAAAAATTGTTACTGATAATTCATGTTTAATGGAATTTTCTCCTTTTGGTTATGTTGTGATGGATCTGGTCACCAAGACTTCTATTCTCGCGGGTAACATCCATAATTTCCTCTATTCTATGAAGATTCCTAAGACATTCCACAATCCTATAGCTCTGACTGCTCGTGTTGTTTCTCCTGATCTTTTGCATCACCGACTTGGACATCCATGTCACTCAACTCTTTCATCTTTATTGGTTAGCAAGAACCACAGTGGTCCATTACCCAACAATGAAGAAATGGGTTTCAAAAAGGTGGATGAGGCAAAGAAGAAGTAGAAGAAGGTATTGAGGCGTGCCATTGTTAGTTTCAGCCTTCCGGTTATTGAAGTCCAAAATAAAGTTTCAATTTTGCATGTCTTAGTATTTTTAGTTTTATGAAACTTTAGGGGCTACAAATAAATTCATGTTTGTGTCTCCGGTAGCTTTTCTGGTGGTGCTCCAACGTCATGATTGGTTCCACTATAGTCTGTCTTTATTAATAAATAAACTTTGTCTTTTTAAATTGCCAAGTGAACCTTTCATTGTTCTTCTACACTATTTAAAAAACTCAAGTAATCTTTTAACACTAGAATGGCAAGTGAGCAGAGCAAAAAAATGACCAAACGAAAGGTTGTAAATCGTTGCATTATGCACGTGATGACAAACAAATTGAACGTCAGTATGATCTTTTTGCCTGTTTAGAAGATCTAGTAACATTTCTCATCTTCAACATAGATATTTTCGATCAGAAAATAAAGTTTCAATTATGCATGTCTTAGTATTCTTAGTTTTATGAAGCTTTAGGGACCACAAATAAATTCATGTATGTGTCTCCGATAGTTCTTTCCAGCGGTGCTCCGGCATGTGTCTCCGGTAGTTCTTTCGATCGGTGTTCCGGCGTCATGATTGGTTCTACTATAGTCTGTCTTTATCAATAAATAAACCTTGTCTTTTTAAAATGCCAAGTAAACGTTTCATCATTCTTCTACACTAGTTAAAAAACTCAAGTAATCTTTTAACACTAGAATGGCAAGTGAGTAGAGCAAAAAAAAGGGCCAAATGAAAGGTTGTAAATCGTTCCACTGTGCACGCGATGACAAACAAATTGAACATCAATATGATCTTTTTACCTGTTTAGAAGATCCAGTAACATTTCTCATCTTCAACATAGATATTTTCGATCAAAAAGTAAAGTTTCAATTATGAATGTCTTAGTATTCTTAGTTTTATGAAGCTTTAGGGGCCACAAATAAATTCATGTATGTGTCTCCAGTAGTTCTTTCCGGCGATGCTCCGGCATGTGTCTCCGGTAGTTTTTTCCGTCGGTGCTCGGGCGTCATGATTGGTTCTTTCCAGTGGTGCTCCGACATGTGTCTCCGGTAGTTCTTTCCGTCGATGCTCTGACATGTGTCTCCGGTGTAGTCTGTCTTTATCAAAAAATAAAATTTGTCTTTTGAAAATGCCAAATGA